GGAGGCCGCATGGATGCGACCAGCTTTGCCGAAACAAGTGATCAAGCCAGAGTCCCCGGTCGAGGAGGCCACAGGACCAACTTTCCCGAATGAGACGAGGGAGCCAGAGTCCCCACCGGTGGAGGAGGCCACAAGACCAGCTTTGCCAAACGAGACGAGGGAGCCAGAGTCCCCAGCGATTGAGGAGGCCGCATGGATGGGGCTACCTTTGCCGAATCCGCCGTAGACGCCAGAGTCCCCGCCGGTCGAGGATGCCGCATGGATGGAGCCAGCTTTGCCAAAGCTGCCGAAGACGTCCCAGGCAGTCGAGGAAGCCGCATGGATGCGACCAGCTTTGCCGAAACAACTGATCAAGCCAGAGTCCCCGCCGGTTGAGAAGGCTGCATGGATGGGGCTAGCTTTACCGAATCCGCCGAAGGCGCCAGACTTCCCGGAAGTTGCTCTAGCAGGAGCTTTGGCGGAGATGGAACAACGCTTCATGGAGCTAGTTTGGGAGGGACAATTGGGCAGAAGAAGGGTGGTAGGATTAGCAGCAGCAGTACTGGCATTGCTCTTGAAGGCTGTAAGGGACGAGATCAGTGGGGAAACAGCTGTGAGAGCAGAGGAAGCCATGGCTAGTGTTGATTTCGTTAAGCACTACTTTGCTTGGTAGATTGTAAAGAGCTGGGGGTGAGGAACTAGTGTGTCCACAGCTCAGGTATTTATAGTACTCATGTCACGGTTCTTAACGCTTTAGTTTGTTGCGGTCATTAATTTGTAACGTCTGGGTTTTGCGGGTTTGCATGCATGTGGCGTACGTGGCGCTGGTGCATGTGAGGGTGAAATAGATAGAAGGATCTAAAATAATAAATGGCATTTAAGTTTATGTGGTAGAAAGGGGTCTTTATCTGGATTGGGTGCATAATTAAGAATTATGCAATTTGATAACTAGATCTGCGGTTTTAGATTTTAGCAGGGCCAAAAAAGTATAAATCTAACATGTGAGAATTAATATTTTTTTTATTTTTATTAGTTTTCTTAAATGATTCTTATCTTCTTCGTTTTAATTTGGATTTCATTTTTTTTTTTTTGCATAGATAGAACGAGTTCGTTGTGATATATAAAAAGAGGTCCATTGTCAATATATTTTGAGAAAAAATTCATACAACTCTTTATCACCTTTGTTTTTAACTCGAATTTGGAATTTTTTCGCACAAATAGAACAAGTCTTTGTGATCTATTGGATCTACAAATTTCTTCTAAAAAATGTAGGACCAAAACATACCACCTCATACCAACCTGGTTATAAGGGTGGTAACTGGTGGCAAACAATGATGAATTGGGTAAATGACAGTTTCTATATTCATATCATGTATTCAACCATGGTGTATATAATATGGTATATTTAGTCCTATTTTTTTTTTCTCAAAGAGTTACAGATCACGATGAACTCGTTCCTTTGCTATATATTTTTTAAAAAAATTTGAATGGAACATAGGTGGTACGAAGTGGTACCAGGGAGTAACAAGTGATAATGAGTGGTAAACAATTTCTCGAAATACATTGAACATGAATATTATTTTGTAGATCAAAACTAACCCATTTCATTTATTCACAAAAATATAAAATCCAAACTAAAACAAAGAAGACATAAGCCAATTAAATAGGAAGAAAAATATATAAAAACATTTTAATGTCAATCCTTAGATTTGACTTCACTAAAAACCAAGGAGTCTTTTTTTTTTTTATCGAGTCCTACCAAGGAGTCATATCTGATTATGTATTTATGCATAACAAGGTACACCCTATCATAGACCGGTAGAAAGTCAAGAATTATATTTGTCAGAGTAGTAATTTCTAAAAAAAAATGTACTGGGTTGTTTTGAGAATGTTCTTTTCAAAAAAATTCCAAACGAACAATTTTAACGTAATCTTTCAATTTCTTATTCATGCCATAACTATAAAGGGTTACCAGTTATATTTGAATTCTTAAATTTATGCCTTTTCCTTTTTTTCCAGTTATCGTTATACTACAATTAGCGATGGATCTAGGTGGCCGTCCCGGATCTCGGTCCAGCCCTCCTCTGGATTTAGAGCTAGTATAGCACTTGTAAATGTTCGATTTTTTTATATTCATTTAAGTGTTCGTCATGTTATGGCTCAACCCTTTCCGCCATTTTTCATATATGATCGAGTGTTCTACTCTATCCTGAATCCGCCACTCACTACAATATCATCTCAATTTGTTTAAAACTTTTCACATTTAACCCTAACACTTGCTTAGTTATTGGGGGGGGGGGGGGTGTTTAGAGTGATCATAGTAGTCATTAACCCATTATTCAACGGTTTAAACATCTCTTTCCTTTCTTTGAAAACTAACTTTAGCAACCTCGGTGAATAGATTTGAACATGAAACATTATTGAGGTATAAATTGTGCACCATCGAACCTTATGGAGCTTAGTTTATGCCCTTTTGCATACCTAATATCACTGGCTACGTTTGCCTGTCTTGATCATTGCTACGACGACGAGTACTCTCTGGGAACTGAACTTAATTTCCACGACGAACGATACATATTACAACATAAATGAAACCGGCCATTATTGCGTATATTGCATAGGCCTTCGATCGGTTGGACATATAACTACCAACAACAGAAGCTCGACTGGAAATTAAAGGACAGGAGGGAGCTAGCTACTGATGGCCAGCTTTGCCGAATCCGCCGATGACGCCAGAGTCTCCACGGGTCGAGGAGGCCGCATCAGCTTTGCCAAATCCGCCAATGACACCAGAGTCCCCGCCGGTCGAGGCTTTGCCGAATCCGCCAATGACGCCAGAGTCCACGCCAGTTGAGGAGGCCGTATGACTAGTTTTTCCAAACACGAACATCATGCCAGCGTCCCCTCCAGTCGAGGAGGTCACGTGGCCAGTTTTGCCGAATAGTGGGAGGCCTATTATGATACTCGAGTCCCCGCCGATCGAGGAGGCCGCATGAATGCGGCCAGTTTTGCCGAATCCGCCGATGACGCCAGAGTCCCCACCAGTTGAGGAGGCTGTATGACTAGTTTTTCCAAACACGAACATCATGCCAGCGTCCCCTCCAGTCGAGGAGGTCACGTGGCCAGTTTTGCCGAATACTGGGAGGCCTATTAGGATACTCGAGTCCCCGCCGATCGAGGAGGCCGCATGAATGCGACCAGTTTTGCCGAATCCGCCGATGACGCCAGAGTCCCCACCAGTTGAGGAGGCTGTATGACTAGTTTTTCCAGACACGAACATCATGCCAGCGTCCCCTCCAGTCGAGGAGGTCACGTGGCCAGTTTTGCCGAATAATGGGAGGCCTATTATGATACTCGAGTCCCCGCCGATCGAGGAGGCCGCATGAATGCGGCCAGTTTTGCCGAATCCGCCGATGACGCCAGAGTCCCCACCAGTTGAGGAGGCTGTATGACTAGTTTTTCCAGACACGAACATCATGCCAGCGTCCCCTCCAGTCGAGGAGGTCACGTGGCCAGTTTTGCCGAATATCGGGAGGCCGAGGATACCCGAGTCCCCCGCCATAGTGCTACCGTAGGATTTGCATGAAGCAGTTGCTCTGGCGGAGATGGAACGACGCTTCATGGAGCTAGTTTGGGAGGGACAGTTTGGCAGAAGAAGGGTGGTAGGATTAGCAGCAGCAGCAGTACTGACATTGCTCTTGAAGGCTGTCAAGGACGAGATCAGTGGGGAAACAGATGTGAGAACAGAGGAAGCCATGGCTAGCTGCTGTGTTTTGGGGTTGCGTTAAGTACTGCTTGTTTTGGTAATCTTGTGAAGTGGTAGAGGTGAGGAACTAATGTGGCCACAGCTCATGTATTTATAGTATCCATGTCACGATTTTTACGCTGTAGTGTTTGTTGCGGTCATTAATTTGTAACGTCGGGGTTTTGCGGGTTTGCATGCATGTGGAGTACGTGGTGTTGGTGCATGTGAGTGCAGTTGAGGGGGGAAATAAATAGAAGGATCTGAATAATAAATGGCCTTGAGGTGGTGGGTTGGCGACTTCATAAATATAATTTATTAGTCAGATTTTTCAAAACTTTTAAATTATTAGTCAAATTTTTTGAAATATAGAATTTTAATATATATTTTTTTGTAACGTACCTAAATATAAGCTCTTTGTATGTTACTTTAGTAATTTTGAAACTACGTTTTAGTTAAAATAATAAAATTTTGGAATGCTGATTTTCATGTGTCTCTTCCAAATTAGTATGAAGTTGCCAAATCAATATCATTAATAAAATTTCTATGGTTAAAATTTAACTGATATTTTATATTTTAAAAGATTTGAATAATAGTTTGAAAAGTTTAAAAAATCTGGCTAATAAATTGTATTAGCATTTGTAATAAAAAGTGTAGTCGGTTGTTTTGAGTATGTTCATGCCATACCTAAAAAGGATATTTATTTGAATTCTTGAAATTTGTCTTTTTTTTATTATTTTCATTATAATACATGACCTCAATATGTTTATAACTTTTACATTTATCCCTAACACTTGCTTAGTAATATATGATGTGTACAGTGATCATATGATATTAGTCACTAACCCATTATTCAACGGTTTAAATATATCTTTTTCCTTTCTTTGAAAATTCAGTTTAAACTTTAGTAATCTCGGTAAAAATAACTGGCTAGCTATTTTATGCCCTTTTGGATACCGAATATTTCTGGCTATGTTGGCCTATCTTGATCATTAAACAACGACGAGCACTCACTGGGAACTGAACTTACTTTCCACCACGAACGATACATATAACAACATAAATGAGACCAGCCATTATCGCACATAATGCATAGGCTTCGATAGGGTCGACAGATAACTACGAGCAACAGAAGCTCAACTGGAAATGAAAAGACAGGAGGGAGCTACTGCTGGCTTTGCCTTCAGTACTCTCTCAAACACACACACTGACAAACATAAAAATACATATGATTTGCCTGCTATCTGGTGGAGCTTCATGTGATCACTTATGTGCGAAGCTAGGCTTGCTGATCGACCAGGGCCATTGGGTACAAGCCAGAGTCCTCACCGGTTGAGGAGGCAATATGACCAGTTTTGCCAAACACGAGGATCAAGCCAGCGTCCCCTCCGGTTGAAGAGGTTGTATGAACAGTTTTGCCAAAGAAGAGCGGGTTAAAAACACCAGAGTCCCCGCCAGTTGAGGAGGTATTGCCACTTTTGCCAAACACGAGGATCAATAATCCAGCGTCCCCTCCAGTTAAGGAGGTTGTATGACCAGTTTTGCCGAATAAAAGCGGGTTAAACACGCCAGAGTCCCCGCCAGTTGAGGAGGTATTGCCACTTTTGCCAAACACGAGGATCAATAATCCAGCGTCCCCTCCAGTTAAGGAGGTTGTATGACCAGCTTTTCCGAAGAAGAGCGGGTTAAACACGCCAGAGTCCCCACCAATTGAGGAGGTATGTCCACTTTTGCCAAACACAAGGTACAAGAAGCCTTCGTCCCCGCCAATTGAGGAGGTTTTGCCACTTTTGCCAAACACGAGGATCAATAATCCAGCGTCCCCTCCAGTTAAGGAGGTGGTATGACCAGCTTTGCCGAAGAAGAGCGGGTTAAACACGCCAGAGTCCCCACCAATTGAGGAGGTATGTCCACTTTTGCCAAACACAAGGTACAAGAAGCCTTCGTCCCCGCCAGTTGAGGAGGTATTGCCACTTTTGCCAAACACGAGGATCAATAATCCAGCGTCCCCTCCAGTTAAGGAGGTTGTATGACCAGCTTTTCCGAAGAAGAGCGGGTTAAACACGCCAGAGTCCCCACCAATTGAGGAGGTATGTCCACTTTTGCCAAACACAAGGTACAAGAAGCCTTCGTCCCCGCCAATTGAGGAGGTTTTGCCACTTTTGCCAAACACGAGGATCAATAATCCAGCGTCCCCTCCAGTTAAGGAGGTTGTATGACCAGCTTTGCCGAAGAAGAGCGGGTTAAACACGCCAGAGTCCCCACCAATTGAGGAGGTATGTCCACTTTTGCCAAACACAAGGTACAAGAAGCCTTCATCCCCGCCAATTGAGGAGGCCGCATGACCAACTTTGCCGAACGCTGGTGGCGCCCACAAGCTAGAGTCCCCTTCAGCTGAGGAAGCATGACCAGTTTTTCCAAACACCAAGTTCAAGCCAGCATCCCCTGCAGTTGAGGAGGCCGCATGACCAGCTTTGCCGAACGCTGGTGGCGCCCACAAGCTAGAGTCCCCGTCGGTCGAGAAGGTATGATCATCAGCTTTGCCGAATAGGGCGAGGATACCAGAGTCCCCACCCAGAGTGCTACCATAGGATTTGCATGAAGCAGCTTCCCTGACGGTAGCTTTGATGGAGATTGGACGACGCTTCACAGAGCTAGTTTGGGAGGGATGGTTTGGCAGAAGAAGGGATGTAGGATTAGCAGCAGTACTGGGATTGCTCTTGAAGGCTGTCAAGGACGAGATCAATGGGGAAACAGCTGTGAGAGCTGAAGAAGCCATGGCTTGCTGCTGATTGTGTTGGTTACGAAGGATAAACACTAGTGCTTCTTTGGGTATATTGTGAAGAGCTAGCTGGGGTGAGGAACTAGTGCGTCCGCAGCTCGGGTATTTATAGTACCCAATGTCACGATTCTTACTCTTTTCTTTGTTGAGATATGGTAAAAAAGGAATGAGAAGAGTCAATTAAATTTGTAACGTAGGTCTGGGATTTGCATGGTTTGCATGTGAAGTACGTGGCCATGGTGCATGCGTAGTAACGGACGTGCATGTATGTGCATTGACTGACAGTGTGGTTGGTGTAGTGGATTTGTTCAAGTTATTAGAGACAAGATTAGCGGGCTTAATTGAAAATTGGGCTTTCTTATTCAACTCTTCGAGCCCATGAATAAGCCTTACTTTATCAACTGGGTCAAGCGGCAAGCATACTATTCCGAAATTTAGTGTCTTTATTTTTATTTTTCGCATTATTTTATAATGTTATGTTTCTTGTTGGTTTGAGTTTTGTTGTTGTCGAGCTATAACGGGATTCATTGATGATCTCTCTAGAAACATATACGGTTCTCTCTGATTCGATTGTGGAAAACTGTAGGGGTATTAATGGAAATTTGGGCACGTGTCACTTGTTCCTGTATCCTAGCAGCAAAAAAACCTTTCTTTTATATGTAGGAAGAATAAGGAATTAAAGTCTTTATTCCTTCTTTGTATTTATGTTCGAAGTGTTTGTCTCTTATCGTATATTTTTCAGGTGTAAATCTGTGTACCGTGTGTATAAATTGATCATCATACGTGGCACCACCATCGGGTCGATTTCCTCTTAGCTCGTTTGTCGTCTTTGATGTGCCATCTGTGATCTTCGACAAGCTTCCTCGTATTTGGTGTCTGATACGGTGTAGTTGCGTTAAAAGCAGTGGAGGCGTTATAAAAAAAAAAGGAGAATTGACATCTAACGAACATGTGGAATAACGGTCAATATTAACGATAACGTTCAATATTAACCAGAGATGCAATGACACGTGGAGTACGAAATAGCGTTATAAGCAGTGGAGACATTGTTAACGAAAGGAGAATTGACATCCAAAAAACATGTAGGATAAATATCAACATTTAACAATATCATTTAATATTAGCGAGAGATGCAATGACGGATGGAGTACGAAATAGCGTTAAAAGCAGTGGATACATTATTAACGAAAGGAGAATTGACATCCAAAGAACATGTGGAATAACGGTCTACATTTAATGATATTGTTCAATATTAGCAAGAGATGCAATGACGTGTGGAGTACAAAATATTGAAAAAAGAAAAACAACTGTATCAGAGCCGGGTTTCGATCCAGGTACCTGTTATGAGAGTGGTAGATAAATGGCAAAATTGTAATAAGATGGAAAATTGTAGGGGTATTAATGGAACGTTGGACACGTGTCACCTGTTCCTGTATCCTTGAAGCACAAACCTTCCTTTTATATGCAGGAAGAATAAAGAATTAAAGATTGTATTCCTTCTTTGTATTTATGTTCGAAGTGATTGTCTCCTATCGTATATTTTCCAGGTGTAAATTTATGTATGCATGTGTATAAATTCATCATCATACGTGGCACCATCACCGGGTTTCTCGATTTTCTCTGAGCTCGTTTGTCGTCTTTGACGTGCCATCTGTGATCTTCGACAAGCTCCCTCGTATTTGGTGTCTAATAGTGCAGTTGCGTTAAAAGCAGTGGAGACGTTATTAACAAAAAGGAGAATTGACATCCAACAAACATGTGGAATAATGGTCAACATTAACGATAACGTTCAATATTAATCAGAGATGCAATGACACGTGGAGTACGAAATAGCGTTAAAAGTAGTGGAGACATTATTAACGAAAGGAGAATTGACATCCAAAAAACATGTAGGATAAATGTCAACATTTAACAATATCGTTCAATATTAGCGAGAGATGCAATGACGCGTGGAGTACGAAATAGCGTTAAAAGCAGTGGAGACATTATTAACGAAAGAAGAATTGACATCCAAAGAACATGTGGAATAACGGTCTACATTTAACGATATCGTTCAATATTAGCAAGAGATCTAATGATGCGTGGAGTACAAAATTTCGAAAATAGAAAAACAACTGTATCAGAGCCTGGTTTCGATCGAGGGACCTGTTGTAAGAGTGGTAGCTAAATGGCAAAGCTGTAATAAGATGGAAAACTATAGGGGTATTTTATGGAACTTTGGACACGTGACACTTGTTCCTGTATCCTAGTAGCAAAAACCTTCCTTTTATATACAGGAAGAATAAGGAATTAAAGTCTTTAATTATTCCTTCTTTGTATTTATGTTCCAAGTGTTTGTCTCTTATCGTATATTTTCCACGTGTAAATCTATGTATCGTGTGTATAAATATATCATTATACGTGGCACCAACACCGGGTTTCTCGATTTTCTCTGAGCTTGTTTGTCGTCTTTGACGTGCCATCTGTGATCTTCAACAATTGCGTTAAAAGTAGTGGAGACGTTATTAACAAAAAGGAGAATTGACATCCAACAAACATGTGGAATGACGGTCAACATTAACGACAACGTTCAACATGAACAAAAGATGCAATGACACGTGGAGTACGAAATAGCGTTAAAAGTAGTGGAGAAATTATTATCGAAAGGAGAATTGACATCCAAAAAACATGTAGGATAAATGTCAATATTTAACAATATCGTTCAATATTAGCGAGAGATGCAATGATGCATGGAGTACGAAATAGCGTTAAAATTAAGCAGTGGAGACATTATTAACGAAAGGAGAATTGACATCCAAAGAAAATGTGGAATAACGGTCTACATTTAACGATATCGTCCAATATTAGCAAGAGATGTAATGACGCGTGGAGTACAAAATATCAATAATAGAAAAACAACTTTATCAGAGCTTGGTTTCGATCCAGGGACCTGTTATGAGAGTGGTAGCTAAATGGCAAAATTGTAATAAGATGGAAAGTTGTAGGGCTATTAATGGAACTTTGGACACGTGCACTTGCTCCTGTATCCTAGTAGCAAAAACCTTCCTTTCATATACAGGAAGAATAAGGAATTAAAGTCTTTATTCCTTCTTTCTATTTATGTTCCAAGTGTTTGTCTCTTATTGTATATTTTCCAATTGTAAATCTATGTATCGTGTGTATAAATTGATCATCATACGTGGCACCAGCACTGGGTTTCTCGATTTTCTCTGAGCTTGTTTGTCGTCTTTGACGTGCCATCTGTGATCTTCAACAGTTGCTTTAAAAGCAGTGGAGACGTTATTAACCAAAAGGAGAATTGACATCCAACAAACATGTGAAATAACGGTCAACATTAACGATAACGTTCAATATTAACCAGAGATGCATTGACACGTAGAGTACGAAATAGCGTTAAAAGCAGTGGAGACATTATTAACAAAAGGAGAATTGACATCCAAAAAACATGTAGGATAAATGTCAACATTTAACAATATCGTTCAATATTAGCGAGAGATGCAATGACGCGTGGAGTACGAAATAGTGTTAAAAGCAGTGGAGACATTAACGAAAGAAGAATTGACATCCAAAGAAAATGTGGAATAACGGTCTACATTTAACGATTTCGTTCAATATTAGCAAGAGATGCAATGACACGTGGAGTACAAAATATTGATAATTAGAAAAACCACTATATCAGAGCCTGGTTTCGATCCAGGGACCTGTGGGTTATGGGCCCACCACGCTTCCGCTGCGCCACTCTGATATGTTGATAGAGATTTCAGATGACTGTACATACTAAATACTTATACTAATCCCTTCGACCTTTCCCTTCGTTTCCACTTTCGTCGCCCTCTCCTTCTCCTCTACGCTTCTCATGTCTCGAACGGCGAGCGACGACCACCCAGCCCCCCAAAATTGAAAGACGAGTGAAGGCGACGAGCGACTCTCCCTTCCGTCGCACAATTCCCCTGTCTGTCGTGCGCTTCCCCTCCTCTACGACTTTGACGCCGCGACTCTCCCTTCTGGCTTCCTCCTTCCCTCGCCGACGCCAGCCAACAACTTCTCGCCTTCTCCTGCTCCCAGTCCTCCTCCGCCACTGCCCAGAAATTCGGTTCGGTAATTTACCGGTAAACCGAACCGAAAATCATCTACAGCCCTCCTCGTGGTAAATCGGTAAAACCGGTTTGTAACCGTTTACCGGACATTCGGTAACCGGTAAACCGGTAACGGTATTTGATCTCCCCTCCACCATGATCGGCATACCGTTTATCGGGTCGGTTGGTAATTGGTTTACCGATTACCGACCGATTGTCACCCCTACTGATATATAATACGATATATCTAGTTCTCAATTTTCTCCACATAAAATTTATTAGATCACGGTGAACTCGTTCGTTCTCTACAAAAATTTTAAAATTTTGAATGAAAATGAAAGTGGTACCATGGTGGTGAAAAGTGGTACAAAAAAAAAATCTCATAATATATTGAAAATATATTATTTTGTAGATTACAACAAACTCGTTCCAAAATTTTGAAATTCGCATTAAAACAAAGAAGATATAAGTCAATTAAAAAAATTATGATAAAAAATTATTTTAATTTCAATCTTTCGATTTGGCTCCACTCAAAACCTATGATCAGTTATATTTCATTATACATTTGTGTATCACCAAGAATTATACACCTTACACTTTTTTTTTTTTTATGAATTATACACCTTACACTAAACCGTTAGAAAGTCAACAATTATATTTCTCCCAAGCGTGGTAATTGTTATAAAAAATCTAGTGGGTTGTTTTGAGGATGTTCATGCCATATCTAAAAAGGATTACCCGTTTTATTTGAATTCTTAATACGATCTCAATATGTTTATAACTTTTACATTTATCCCTAACACTTGCTTAGTAATATAGGGGCTAAGATCAGGTGACTAAGGGGGGTCCCTTAGTCACATGACTAAGTAAATCTCAGCCCTTCCATCTCATTAAAATCTAATGGCTACAATTAATCTACTTTAATGAAGGGCAAAATTGTAAGTTCATGATTATTTTTATTTTCAATTATTAAATAATTTATTTCTGGGTCATTCTCCCTGCTCGTCCGCCTCGTTTTTTTTTTCGGCCGTCCGCCTCTTTTTTTTTTCCCCGCCGCTCTTCACTTTTTTTTTCCCCGCTGCTCTGCACTTTTTGGTGTGGGATTTTATCCCCAAGTTGATTCTTTCCACGAGAGAGAGAGAGAGAGAGAGAGAGAGAGAGAGAGAGAGAGAGAGAGAGAGAGAGAGAGAGAGAGAGAGAGAGAGAGAGAGAGAGAGAGAGAGAGAGAGAGAGAGAGAGAGAGAGAGAGAGAGAGAGAGAGATTTTCTGGTCGGCAATTTTTTTCCGACGAACATCGTCGCCGGAGAAGAATTTCCCGACGACGGTGCTAATTTTGTGATGTTTGTTGACATATTTTGTAATGTTTGTATACTTTGTTATTTTGTAATGTTTGTCGGTTTTATTTGTAATGTTTGTACACTTTGTTATTTTTGTCAACCATGTTTGTAATGTTTTTTATGTCTAAAAAACAACCGGGTTGACTTTTGGATGGACCTCCTCTATATAGGGATGGAGCCTCCAAAGTCAACCCGGGTGTTTTTTCCAGTTCGTATGGATTGTCGGTCTAGTTTGTCATTTTTTTCCATCATGTTCGTACTGTTTGTATGTCTAAAAAACACCCGGGTTGACTTTGAGAATGAGCCCCTCTATATAGGGATGGAGCCTACAAAGTCAACCCGGGTGTTTTTTCCCGTTCGTATGGATTGTCGGTCTAGTTTGTCATTTTTGTCCACCATGTTCGTACTGTTTGTATGTCTAAAAAACACCCGGGTTGACTTTGGGAAGGAGCCCCTCTATATAGGGATGGAGCCTCCAAAGTCAACCCGGTTGTTTTTTCTTTTTGTACGGTTTGTATTGTTTGTCAGTCTAGTTTGTATTGTTTGTACAGTTCATACGTTTGTAATGTTTGTATGTTTTGTCGCTCTAGTTTGTACTGTTCGTATGTTTGTATGGTTTGTATTGTTTGTCAGTCTAGTTTGTATTGTTTGTACAGTTCATACGTTTGTAATGTTTGTATGTTTTGTCGCTCTAGTTTGTACTGTTCGTATGTTTGTATGGTTTGTACTGATTGTAAATCCGGTTTGTATACTTCGTAATTTTTCATAATACCCAAACTACCCCTGCTATTAATTAAATAGCCCTTCCCACTTTTTAACCATTGGATTGAAGTGTCCAGATCTAATGGCTAGGAGGGGCTTAGCCAAGTGACTAAGCACCCCCCCTTAGTCACCAGATCCGCACTCGTAATATAGGATGTGTACAGTGATCATATGATATTAGTCACTAACCCATTTTATTCAACGGTTTAAATATATCCTTTTCCTTTCTTTGAAAATTCAATTTAAACTTTAGTAATCCCGGTAAAAATTACTGGCTATTTTATGCCCTTTTGGATACCGAATATTTCTGGGTATGTTGGCCTGTCTTGATCATGAAACGGCGAAGAGTACTCACTGGGAACTGAACTTAATTTCCACCACGAACGATACATATAACAACATAAATGAGACCAGCCACTATCACATATAATGCATAGGCTCCGATCGAGTCGACAGATAACTACGAGCAACAGAAGCTCAATTGGAAATGAAATGACAAGAGAGAGCTACTGATGGCTTTGCCTTCAGTCTCTCAAAACACACACTGACACACATAAAAATATATGGCTCTCTGGTGGAGCTTCATATGATCACTTCTGTGCGTAGCTAGGTTTGCCCATCGACCATGGCCATTGGGTAAAAGCCCGAGTCCCCACCGGTTGAGGAGGCCGTATGACTAGCTTTGCCGAACACGGGCCAGACCCACAAGCTGGAGTCCCCGTTCGTTGAGGAGGCCGTATGACCAGCTTTGTCGAACACGGGGATCACGAAGCCATTGTCCCCGCTGGTTGAGGAGGCTTTGCCGAACACGGGTGTCATCCATAAGCTAGAGTCCCCACCGGTTGAAGAGGCTGTATGACCAGCTTTGCCGAACACGAGGATAATGAAGCCATTGTCCCCGCTGGTTGAGGAGGCTTTGCCGAACACGGGTGTCATCCATAAGCTAGAGTCCCCACCGGTTGAAGAGGCTGTATAACCAGCTTTGCCGAACACGAGGATAATGAAGCCATTGTCCCCGGTGGTTGAGGAGGCTTTGCCGAACACGGGTGTCATCCATAAGCTAGAGTCCCCACCGGTTGAAGAGGTTGTATGACCAGCTTTGCCGAACACGAGGATAATGAAGCCATTGTCCCCGGTGGTTGAGGAGGCTTTGCCGAACACGGGTGTCATCCATAAGCTAGAGTCCCCACCGGTTGAAGAGGCTGTATGACCAGCTTTGCCGAACACGAGGATAATGAAGCCATTGTCCCCGCCGGTTGAGGAGGCTTTGCCGAACACGGGTGTCATCCATAAGCTAGAGTCCCCACCGGTTGAAGAGGACGTATGACCAGCTTTGCCGAATACGAGAATCACGAAGCCATTGTCCCCGCTGGTTGAGGAGGCTTTGCCGAACACGGGTGTCATCCATAAGCTAGAGTCCCCACCGGTTGAAGAGGATGTATGACCAGCTTTGCCGAACACGAGGATAATGAAGCCATTGTCCCCGCTGGTTGAGGAGGCTTTGCCGAACACGGGTGTCATCCATAAGCTAGAGTCCCCACCGGTTGAAGAGGCTGTATGACCAGTTTTGCCGAACACGAGGATCACGAAACCATTGTCCCCGCCAGTTGAGGAGGTTGCATGAGGAGCTTTGCCGAACACGGGTGTCATCCACAAGCTAGAGTCCCCTACAGCCGAGGAGGTATGACCAGCTTTGCCAAACACGAGGATCACAAAGCCAGCGTCCCCTTCAGCTGAGGAGGTCGCGTGGCCAGCTTTGCCGAAGAAGAGCGGGTTAAACACGCCAGAGTCATCGCCAGTGGAGGAGGCATGTCCAGTTTTGCCAAACACGAGGTACAAGAAGCCTTCATCCCCGCCAATTGAGGAGGCCGCATGACCAGCTTTACCAAACGCTGGTGGCGCCCACAAGCTAGAGTCCCCGTCGGTTGAGGAGGCCATATGGCCAGCTTTGCCGAACGCCGGTGGCGACCACAAGCTAGAGTCCCCGTCGGTTGAGGAGGCCATATGGCCAGCTTTGCCGAACGCCGGTGGCGCCCACAAGCTAGAGTCCCCGTCGGTTGAGGAGGCCGTATGGCCAGCTTTGCCGAACGCCGGTGGCGCCCACAGGCTAGAGTCCCCGTCAACTGCGGAGGTATGAGTTTTGCCGCATAGGGCGAAGATACCAGAGTCCCCACCAAGAGTGCTACCATAGGATTTGCATGAAGCAGTTTCCCTGACGGTAGCTTTGATGGAGATTGAACGACGCTTCACAGAGCTAGTTTGAAGGGCTGGTAATGTACTGGTATTGCTCTTCAAGGCTGTGAAGGACGAGATCAATGGGGAAACAGCTGTGAGAGCGGAAGAAGCCATGGCTTGCTGCTGTTTGTTTTGGTTACAAAGGATAAACACTAGTGCTTCTTTGGGTATATTGTGAATAGCTAGCTGGGGTGAGGAACTAGTGCGTCCGCAGCTCACTTATTTATAGTACCCAATGCCACGATTCTTACTCCTTTCATTGTTGAGATATGGTCAAAGAGGAATGAGGAGAGTCATTAAATTTGTAACGTTGGTCTGGATTTGCATGGTATTGCATGTCAAGTACGTGGCGATATATGGTGCATGCGTCGTAACGTACGTGCATGTATGTTGACAGCTCAGGTATTTGGTGCAGTGGATATGTTTGAGGCATTAGAGATAAGGAATAATTAAAGACTTTAATTCCTTCTTCTTTGTATTTATCTTCCAAGTGTTTTTGACTTTTTTTGTCCTATCGTATATGTTATTTCTGTATTTGTACACCAATTTACAGCTTGTAAATCTATATTATGTACGTGGCGCAAGTGGCAGAGCCAGAAAATTGGCCAAGGGGTGTCTTTATCATATCATAAAAAATTACATATACAATAGAAAAGTCAACTTTAAATTAAACAAAAAGTCAACAACGCAATACTCTAAATTCATACAATTACATTAAAATAGTTTGACGTACACCGGTTACAACGTCAAACAAATAAGTTTAGTACATACAAGTCAAGACTTTCATTCATCAAATATTACAAATTAGAACTCAGAAGTACCTTGGAATTGATTTTGTGAAACAAACAAGTGAACTTCAATTGGTACTTCTTCACTTTCAGCTTTGTTTAAACAAAAAACAAGAAATTTCTCTGTTGTAGAGCTACAAAAGAAACGAATGAGTTTAAACAAAAGACAACAATTTATTACTATAAATACAGACGCGAAAATGCATTGCATAACAAAACTCACTCGGTTCGAATGGTCACTGATTCGAATTTGTATATACCCCTACTCGAGAATATTTTCTCCAAACCCAAGGGGGTGCAAGCACCCCCCTCCTCTCCAAGTGGCTCCACCACTGCGTGGCACCATAACCGTGTTTCTCGATCTCCTCTGAGCTCGTTTGTTGTCTGTGCTATTTGTGATCTTCGACAAGCTCTCTTGTATTTGGTACCTGATAGTGTAGTTGCGTTAAAAGCAGTGGAGACATTATTAACGAAAGGGAGAATTGACATCCAAACAACATGTGAAATAACGGTCAATATTAATGATAACGTTCAAAATTATATGTGATCTTCGATAAGCTCCCTCGTATTTGGTACCTGATAGTGTAGTTGCGTTAAAAGCAGCGGAGACATTATTAACGAAAGGGAGAATTGACAACCAAACAACATGTGGAATAACGGTCAATATTAATGATACCGTTCAAAATTAGCGAGAGATGTAATGACGCGTTGTGATCTTCGAGAAGCTCCCTCGTATTTGGTACTTGATAGTGCAGTTGCATTAAAAGCAGTGGGGACATCAATAACGAAAGGGAGAACTGACATCCAAACAACACGTGGAATAACGGTCAATATTAATGATACCGTTCAATATTAGCGAGAGATGCAATGACGCGTGGAGTACGAAATAGCAAAAAATAGAAAAAAAAGTAGAAAAACAATTGTATCAGAGCCTGGTTTCGATCCAGGGACCTGTGGGTTATGGGCCCACCACGCTTCCGCTGCGCCACTCTGATGTGTTGATAGAAATTGCACACGCATCTAATAGAAAGACTGATTTACTCATTGAAATTGATAGCGTAATGACAGCATCCAAAACAACTGGCGCTTGTGTTTGGTTCAGTGTCTCTATAAATGGCTGTAAAATAACAAGGAACATGGAGCGTGGAACTCATCATCTCTCAAGAATGTACATAGTAAATACTTACTACAACATTGATATTGCAATATTTTGACATAATTGAGATAAAATTCCATCTCAAAATTACAACAAAAGTGCCAACAACATACAGTACAGAGTGCACAATTGCATATTATTACAAAAGTTGCAGTCTCCAGAGACACCCAAACCAAATTACCAAATAGGAAAAATGATAGAAAAACACAAAGTTCTCCCTACTGTCATGAACCAGTTGCTCCCAATAACTCGAGCTATTGGGAGAAGGTTATGCTGGATCTTATAGAACTATCTAACACGTCCCCTCAAACGAAAGCCAACCTATGGGCTTGAAGTTTGCACATGCCCGCCATACCATGTGCTTGAAGACAACGGTTAATATTGGGGGTCGTGGAGATTCGAACACACAACCACTTGGCCAAACCAACTCTGATACCATGTCATGAACCAGTTGCTCCCAATAACTCGAGTTGTTAGTAGAAGGTTATGTTGGATCTTATACAACTCTCTAACACCTACTCCCCGCAACTGACACACCTTGTTGGTTCCAACTTCATAGATAGCTAATGAAAGCGTGCAGTGTTCAAGCTAAGATTGAAATGCAGCAGAGGCCAGTTGGCCATTGCATCCTATTACAGTTATTAGCCTTAAAATTCCAGATCTAAGAAAGCTTAAAATGTAAACGAGAACTAGAAGAGAAAAAAAGAGGATCATCAAAAGTATCTGACATGGATCAGCATCAACCCTTACTCTTTTTCAAACTAAACCCACTACTAAAGCAACTCCAACCCACTTAATTACTGGAAACTGCCCTAATCTCATCCTTCTACTCGATAATAGCCAACAGATTATGAAGATGGATCAACGTGAATGTTTTGCTACGTATCACATGAGTTAGTTAACGATTATATTCAGCGACCCATTTATTACTAACCTGAACGTTCAGCGGCCATGATTCGTACTGCACTTGCTCTCTATCTCTGGAAAAAACAACAACTAAAACCTGGGGAAACTTGGAAGGGAAACTGACCTGTCTTCTATGTTACTCTGTCCAACCTTTAGAGGGTTCTACTATTGTTCAACTCGGTGGGTGCTCATTTTCCACTTCATGTACGTCTCCACATTGTCCAAACCACATTGCTCCTTCACAGTGGGCATGACAGCTGGCACCTCCAGATTGAAGGTTGGACCATATTCGTCGTGGTAACCCCATGACTGAAGCTGCTCTCGGGCTGCTCTAACTGCTGCTCTCGTCGCGCAGTGAACTGAGGATGCCAAGAGCAGTGGTGGCTCACCACAAGCTGCACAACGAAACAATTTACATGGGTGTTCTGAAAAAGTACTAAAATAGGAATCCAGAAACATTTTTTTTATCTGTCTGAACATTGATTAACTACAAATGAGGAAATTAGACGTGACGATGACTTGGTACCTTTGGAGGACAGCACACGGTTCTTGTGATTTCCACTGCTTAGTATTTCGACGTTAAACTGTTTTGGTATTGTGTCTACTGTAGGAATCTTGTAGGTCCATGTTCCATCTGAGGTTACTAGTCCATCCGAGTTTCTTGTGTACTCTTCCAGCATAAAATACCCGATACCTTGCACATAGGCCCCTTCAATCTGCAAAATAATAGTTTTCATTTCTTACATAGCAGAGGAAAATGAATACAGTCAAACTTATAACGAGTGGTCTTGAAGTTAGGCCAGAACTTGGGGCCTTCCAGTTTTGCATTAACAACTGATAAATATGTCAAGCATCCAGCTTAACTGTCCTAAATCCACAGCAGGATTTAGGCTTCGTCCACAGTCATAAAGTATATCTGATCTCAGAATTGTTGTTCCCCCAGTAAGTAGGTTTACCTCCACCTGCATGCATAACCAGAACATTTATATCTCATATCAGTATCCATGAATTTCATCTATGCATACGTTCCATCCTCCTAAAGGTTACAGTAATCAAAAAGTTACTGCAGCACCCAAAAACAAAACCCCCTAACACAGAAATCCAATCAAATGAAGGCATTCGATCTGTATAGAACTTACCTCGCTCACTGCAGCACCGTAGGTTAAGTAGCGGTTGGAAGAAAAATCAGGGCCAGAGTACGAGCTTGTGGATAAGTTCACAACTTGCATATGTGCCTGTATTGTGAATTTGTGATCAGCAAGTGTGACATCCAGATAGTGCATTGGTCTCAGGAAAAACATTCCTGTTGGAATTTCCAATTTCATAGCACAACATCAACAAATTTCCAAACAGTTACCTGTTGAATAAGCATCTCCCATTGCACAGAACCCATTTCAGTCTTCAACTTTTCCTTTAGAGGTCTCAGTCTCTCAACCAAGATCTCACAGCAAAGTCTAACTGCTTCACAACTCGACTCAGACGTAGTGCTTCCAGCAGTAAAGCCGCCTTGAATCAAACTTAGAGTATCAGCTTGTATTATCCTTACTTTCTCCAACAAGTCTACTTCTAAAGCATCACATTTGATCAACCCAAGAGCAAATGCTGTCATCTGCTTTACTTTTGTCCATAGTCCCTGACCAAGCTCTATACCTCCAACTTCAACAACAATAGACCCATCTCTTAAAATGCTTACTCTCCCAGGAGCAGGTCTCACTATCAGTTCGTGAACTATTGGCACACAAGAAAGGCCTCTTTTCTTCCACACATTGCACTTATTAAACTCACTTACCATTTCCCTTCTCTGGCTATATTCAGAAGATTGGGCTAACTTCTCCCAGATCAAACTCAATGTATACTCTGGTACTTCACCTGAGCTATCAGGATGGAACAACATAAGGCTATCATGTGTGTGAAGGTTAATTTTTCTTACACAGTCTGCATTCACGGAAAGAGTAGAGGCTATGTTTTCAATTATAGCTTCTGCAACATATGATCCCTGAACTTCTCCAGGTCCCCGCATTGCTGATCTACTTACTGTATTTGTTTTGCAGACCTTTATGTCGAAAGACAAAGCACCCCAATCATACTTTCTAAGTACGGCCATAAAGTTTGATGGTATTACTGGACTTATGTCTGTATATATCCCAGCATCCACTAGTATGTCGAGTTTCAGTGCCGTGATTTTCCCAGTCGACTTGAAACCAACACTGTAAGTTATCTTCATTGGATGCCTACCTCCTGCCATTATCATATCAGTTTTGCGATTGACATATATCCTGACAGGCTGCCGCAGTACATGAGCGGCAAGTGCGCAAGCTGTAGCAACCTAAAGCATACACATTTTGAAGTGAATTGAACCGATAGATAATTCACAAATAACTTAAAGAGGGTGTGTTTATTTTAGGTTTGTTCAACAGCCTTTTTTATGAATCCTTATCCAAAGAATAGTTGTTATGAAAAATCAGATTGAAGTGGCTTACTTTCAAGTGACTTGTTTTGCCAACGTGAGCAGACCCTAAATTTTGTTTTAATTAAATTGAACCTATAGATGTTGATGGAGAAGTAGCTTACTGGCATTGATTTAATAGCCTTCCCACCAAAGCCACCTCCAACCCTTCTGGTAATTACGCGTACGTTGTGTTCAGGAACACCAATACATTGAGCAATTGTTGCATGAACATACTCAGGGCACTGAGAAGAACTGTAAACTACCATGCAGTTATCTTCATCAGGCACAGCAAGGGCAGTTTGACTTTCCATATAGAAGTAGTATTGAGAATCGATCTTTACCTGCATGCCATAGTCACAAGTGAACATACCTTACAAGGGAAGACCATCAGAGGAAGAGAATAAATCACAAGCAGACACAGGAGGGTACGAGATTCTTGGCCGAATCCTTTTTCTAAACATAAAATATTTTTGTGCAAAATTACCTCGGCGGAAAAAATCTGGTGATCAGCTTCAGCCATTCCTTTTGAAAAATCACCAACTTCTTTGGGATACAGAAAAGGAGGAACCTGGAAAAAGCTAGACCTAGCCACAGCATCTTCCACTGTTAAGATCGGGGCTTCCAGATTCTCTAGATCATAATTAACAATGGCGAGCCTTGATGCCACATCGGCTTCTTTCTGGGTACCGGCAACCTATAACAGCAAATGAACAGTGTGATTGAGTACAAAAGACCAAATTTAAGTTATTAAATGTATTTCCCATCTACCCCATTGTTTTAATAGGTTTAAGTTAATAAAATGAGGTACAAGAGTTGATTGGTAGGTAAATGTACCAGGAAGGCAAGGCGATCTCCAGCACATTGCGTAAAATCATCGGCAAACAAAGGTTCAGATCCAAATATGGTCATGGAACCTACGTTCTTCCCACCTTTTGGTATGTCCTTATAGTTAATGAGACCAGATATCCAATTTGACTGTGATTTAGGGTTGACTTGTATACCCCTTACCCTAGCTAATGGCTTTGTGCTATAAACGAATGAGCCATGTAGGCAATTTTCAGGGGAGGGGATGTCATCAGCATAAACCGCTTCACCTGAAAAACAGGCCAATTATAAAGACATCACAAGAAGAGTTATGCAAATCAATCCAATATATCACCGGCATGAAACTGAGAAAGTAGGTAGTGAGGATGCCTAGAAAAGCCAAAGCCAAGTAAAGCAGAACTGCAACTAAGCACTCACAATTAAAACAACCCAGATTATAATATTGTGTGAAACTAAGCATACACACCAGAAGCTTGAAGGGCAGCTCCAGATGTTACAATCGGTTCACCAACAGGACGGTAATCGATGTGTAGTTGAAACACCTGCCTTGAGGATGACAGCATTCTGGGGCATTTAACATGGCCCCCCTCTTCATAATTCTCTTCAGCGTCCTTAGACGACAAAGTACATCTTGAGATTCCAATAGTAGCATCTGCCAAGGGGCTCAAGAATTCAAATAGAAAACCAACTGCCACACTTGACCTATAGGCTTCACTGCCGGTTCCTTCTTCAGGCACCACTGTTGCTTTAACCAAATTAATGGCTTCATATAGAACTCGAGCTGTCAACACTCTCCCTGTTAATAATTTCTCAACTTCCCTTGCTCGTATTGCATGTTTTTTTCCATAAGCACCAAAAGCCAGCAGACATTTATTCAGTACAGCTCCACCAGAAGATCCACAGGATGAAAGTTCAGCCAAGAAAGCAGCATTTACATAGGCCAACGCATTTCCATGAGCTCTAGGTGCAGCCCGGTATGTCTCGAATAACAGTTTACGGTCTACCCCAGAATTTCTGCCCTTTTCCAGCTCCCAGAGTGGGATTTTAACACTTGAAAGTACACTTTTTGAATCCAAATGTGGTCTTTCAAGGAATTCTTCTAAGCTAACTGTCTCATAAGCTGTACCACTTCGTATATTAACAAAAGCACCAGCTCCAAGAAGTATGGTAGCAATGTCAGATGGAAAATGTTCCCTCTGAGCCATGACTAAATTCCCACCTATACTGCCTGTATTTTGAACGAACTTTGTACCTATTTTCTCCATATGAGCTGCGATCTTTTTATAAACGATAGCACCTTCTGAAGGAGATTCGATTCTGAAAGCTTCTCTCAGTGCACAGATAGCTTTAGAAATGGTCACAGCTGCCCCTATTTCAATCCCTACCGGATCCCGCCTAATGCACGAAAGTTCAGGTATATACCTGAGGTCAATGTAGGTGTCACAGTTCTCAAGTTCCTTATAATAACCAGCACTAGTGTTACCAACCACTAGTTTCACCAGGCCAACTCTGTTGGAATTGATGGATAACAACATGTTGTCAAGTTCCAAGAACGCTTTTGGCGTAAGCCACCGGAGTTTCTCTGAACCCAAAAGCAAATTACTCTTGCATTCCGATTTTAAAAATTCCGGGAATCTAGAGATGCCTTGGTTATTGTCATACACAGGCATCCTGCTTTCCTTGGTTTTACAGAAGGAGTTGAACCCTAAATCCTCCATGTCAATGTCAACTGCAAAACTTTTGCACGCATCAGCAATAGGTCAATATCCAGTACACCGACAAAGATTGCCAGCAATGGCCTCTTCAGCTTCAAAAGCTGTTAGCTTGGAGATCCCTGAGGCTGATTCTGGTTCATTTGTCTTATCAGCATTAACGAGGGCTCCATAGAGGGACATGCACATTCCAGGAGTGCAGAAACCACATTGGGAGGCATGAAAACCAGCAAATCTCTCATGAATTGGATGAAACCGGTCTTTGCTATTTCCAAGGCCTTCAGTTGTGGTGATTGAACATCCATGTAAGCTGCAAAGCAGGGTAAGACACGCACTTATCGTGAAGTCTTCAACTTTACCAACTATTTCATCATACTTAGAAAGCAGAACAACACAAGCTCCACACCCCCCTGAAACAAGTTCAAATCCCATCAGAAAATAACTAACTTTAATACCCATATTCTGATATAAAACAATATGATCACTTTGACACTCAGTTAAGATTTAAGAATACCAAGAGAAACAGCAAAACATAAGTAAATTTAAGAGGTCCAAGGTATCCAAGGTAACAGTTCGAGTTTTAAACTTACTCAACTTGAAAGCAAGACTTGAGTAACAACAGAGGAGACCATAAGACTAGCAGTTAATCAAGGGCCACAAAATGAAAATGAACTTGTTGAGAACAAAGAACCGCTGATTCCCAAATATGCAAAAAACCAGCCTTTACCTAAAAATTCATCCATCTGCTTGGAGAACCAAAGCAAACGAAAGTAAAAGATTCAAGTAAAAACTCCACATTCCGATCAAGCCAACCCAACTCAAGCAAAAACCAGTCCAAATCAGACCCCCAAAAATTCTCAAATTTCAGTTGACGACTTCAATGAAAACTCGTGAACTTACCTTCACCACAACCGAGCTTGACACTCTTGAAAGGAGTTCTGGTACGCAATAACTCGATCAAAGTAGTTGAAGGGTCGACATCAGAGAGCTCGAACCTACAACCATTAACAGCAAAAACCAGGGTTTTGCTAGTTCCCGTTTCACTTCCTTCTTCCATTCTCGAAGCGTCGCCCTCGGTGACAGAGCAAGATAAGTTCGAGACGCTAGCTGCTGCTGATGTATTATATACCAGATTTCCATTTGGGTCTACTGGGAGTTCAGTCAAAGAAAAGATAACGAATTTCGCTGGCGGGGAAGCGGACAAAGAGAGAAGCAGCTAGGTTTCTGACTAACTGATGCAACCAACGTTTCAGCGAGAAGATTCTTCGCCTTAATAGAGTCCCTCCCTTTCCCGCCCCGCTCTCGCTCTCCAGTCTCCACCTGGTTTTCCGGTTGCAAGTTGCATGGAATATAATAATGGGGATTCCTTTCATTGTTCATCTTCTTACCCAATCTTCATTATCTTTTGGACCACTCTGATTTTCATTTTTCACCATTAAAAAGCGAATAGTGCCAACATGCTAAAAGAATAAGCAATAAAACATGAATTAACATGTTGGATTGTTTTTTTTTTTCAACTATTAAATGCAAATATCACATTATTTGTAACTTGTTATTTTTAATTCGTAAATTTAATGATTAAACACCAATTTCATCGTTCTTGTCAAGAACCAGTTGATCCCAATAACTCGAGTTGTTGGGGGAGGTTCAATCGTGGATCATATACCACAACACTAACACGCCCCCTCAAACGAAAGCCACTCACAAGGGCTTGAAGTTTGCACAGGTCCGAAGACAAGAATATCATGTGCTTAACAAATGGGGGTCGCCGGGAATCGAACACAAGACCTCTCGGTCACAGAAGGCTCTGATACCATGTCAAGAACCAGTTGATCCCAATAACTCGAGTTGTTGGGGGAGGTTCAATCGTGAATCATATACCACAACAGTAACAGTTCTAAATCGTTTAATTTGTTACATGAGCTAACCAGCTAATTTGACACGACTGGCTTAGGATGGCTATCTAGAGCATTGAAGTCACGAGATTAAGAATCTATATCTAGTCCCGATGGATGTCATTACATGCACCGAAACATTAAAGCATAGTGAAATGAAATACAACTTAATATCAGGCACTACATTCGAGGGCCAATCGGAAGAGTGATCATCAAACACCTATATCAGGTTCAGGCAATCAATAAAAATTGTGGAGCACAGACCTATTTGCTAGATCCACAATACATTCATAAGCAAAGTATATGGTATTGTCAGGAGGAGCGTTTTGCAGGATGCCAACACACATATCTCCATTTTCAACCTTGAAAAACAGAATTTCCTATGTTTTGAAAACCCTACCACGCCGTCGGACCGAAAATATCGAATATCGGACCCTAAATAGTGGGTGGTTTAAACGGTATGAAATTGTCGAACCATAGTTAAACCACAATTTTAGTACAAAATACACCACCACTGATTTTACCGGTATAACCTCCCGTATGGTGTCACAATTTTTGGATTTACAAACTCATAGCTTCTCATTGGATCTCTCCAAAACAACATACAACCAACCTCCCACAAATTGAGATGAAGAAGTCGCATGTATAGTCTGTTGTTAAGTTTGCATAACAATAAAGGGTGGACAAAAACTCAGTAAGCAAGCAACTAGCACTCAAACTTTTGGGCTAATGCAGACAACCCATCTCCTGGTAGCAACGGCAGTTTGTGAATACAGATTTGGCCATGATAGTAGTGATGGCCCCCTGAGCCGGCATGAAACTTCTTTGCAACTCAGGAGAGCGGGCAGAAGTGGAAGTAGAATTGCACCATTTCCCATCAAACTTCTCAAGCTTTGCACTTAGAATGGAAGCAGGCCCATCTCGCTGTCCAAATATGAGTAGTAGTTGTTGTAGTTTAGATGTCCCCAGAAGCAGGAAAGCCCAGCATCTCCGTGCTTGGGAGACTTGAGATAACAAAGATGCAATTCCTTCAGGTTGCTCTCAAACTTCCGCTTTATTGCCATCACCTGTCAAGCATAATGACCGGGTTGTTTTTCACACAGAAAAGGGGCAGAAATGCAAACTGCAGAAGCTGTTTACGAGGAAAGAAGTCTACTTCATTGATGGGAGATATATTTTTGTGTTTAGGAGTATGGATCTCATAAAACTCGCTGCAATGAACAGTGGAAATTTACCTGTGGGACACTTATCCCAGAAAGTCTGCTGTTGGGCGAGCTTGCCTGATCCACTCGTACATCCCTCACGCCACCTATAACACAAGATCGGAAATCCAAGGCACATTGCAGCATGTTTACGATGATGCCAGCTACCTGCCGTGATTCATCAGAGAGGAAACATCTGCAAAGGTCAAGAATACCTTTAGTTTACAAGTCAAACATCTTTGAAAATTTCAAAAAGCTGAGACCTTTAGCGAGATGAGAGTTGAACTTTCAAGAAACAGCATGACTTGAACTTACATATGCAGAGAATCAGTTAGGTATGCCATGTGCACTAGCTCCAGATCCATCATATCTTTGACCTGAAAGTGCCAGAGAGATAGATACAAACATTTCAACGACAGTAATTTTGTGGCTAAACTGTAATACACGGGGCATTAATAACTTCGTGCAGCTATCTACACCTATGCAACAGGTAGTAAATGAGAAGAGAAGAAGGATGGGAATGAAGCTCTCCTTTGGGATTGGCAACTTTGGAAACCTTTATGTATATTTTCTGCCATCTTGTGGGCACATTGCATGATTTACAAACTCCTAAAAGGATTCATTTTTCACCCAGAACAAAAGTTCTGATGCTTTCGCTAATGTGTGAATTAGAAAATAGAGAACAAAATTCATTAACAACTCAAAGACTCATAATTCATCTTCAGCAGTGCAGTAGACACCTTTGAATGACAAATGAGGCAAAGAATCCTATAGCTTATTTGAGCTACATTGAGCAGGTTATTAAATTGAAGAACTACATATGTACAGAGGTGGAGTTGGAAAGTGCTATTCAAACCTTAAACTTCAGAGACTGAAGAAACCTGCACCAAGATACGTGCGAGAGCTGGGACTGCACGTATTGTTGTATGGTGGACACAAAATGATTTAGCTTATGCCTGGAATAGAAACATTAATCAAAATTCTTCAAATTTCAGTATTCATAAGTATAAGCCAATTATACTCTTTCACGGGTTAATAAGTAGGATTCATGCAGGAAGCACCAGGAATGATAATCAATGACTCATTCTTCAGAGTATCAGTGTATCACTATGGACTGATACAATCAGTGAAAGCTTTGTGATGTGAAACAGAGAGCAAAAGAAGATAAACTTTCCAACAGGGCGAATGGTTATTAATTACCTCATATTTATCAGCATATTCCAATGACCCAATTCCTGGTGGTATAGAGCAGAATGGCGGTTTTTACTGATCAATTGAATGACAACCTGTAGAAACAAAGTTCAGTTTAATTGTACACAAAATTGACCAGGTTCCCATAACCTTCAAGACCAGAATGCAACTATAAATTACTCGATATTAGAGCGGAAAAGGGAAGAAGTGCTTCGATCTTTAGAAACTTCGATTGTGAATTGATCATAGCACAATTTTTTTTTTGTGACTGAACACCACATCATGAAGCACTACCTTCAAGGAGCACCATATGTCCGTCAGAGATGAAGCAGCGAGCTTCACTTTCATCAGGAAACTGAATATGAGAGCATACATTTTCAAAGCTCTTGGGGTCAAAATGATACTGATTGGCCATTCTACTCGGTAACCCAAACCAAGAAAGTCAAGGGCGTTGACTCCTGCCAATATCAATGGATCAGAATCAGCAAAGTTGTAAATTAGACAATAGGGAAGGACAAAATCTATCAACTACTTCCCAAAAGGAAAAATCAACCAATAAACAATCAAAGTTCAAATCCGTACTCAGTTGAAGGCAACAAAATTATGCACTAAAGTGACAACAACTGATACCACATCAAGTTTCCAGGTAGAAGTATGGTCCGCAGTCAGCCAAAGCAAAATATCCTAAGCATATACATTTGACAACTGGCAAGAGAGTTCAAACAAAATACAAAATGTTTACATTGAATATGTTGAAAGCTTTGGTGTATATCAACAAATCTAATACTGCCTCGCACAGTATATCAACAACTAGCTGGCTTAAGAAAAGGTTGCAAGCCTTGCTGAACCACAGAAGAGGTTCCTTAAGAGCAATTTAAAGCATGTAAATGTGGTTTGCATTACAAAATCTAGGAAATTATATTATATCTCCGGGTCCACAATGTGAAGGAAGTAAATCAGATGGAAAGAGTTTTACCAACTGCAGATGAAAGCATTAAACCACGTCCTTTTGTGTACACAAATAGCCGATCCTTGTTAGGATCTCTCTCACAAGAGGACCTTTGAAGTGACAACTCAAGGATTCCTTGAATCTCTGGGACTTTTTGATCCACCTCCATAACAGACCATTTCTGCGCTTCAAGTCAGAAGGAATGGGTTCAGCAGGAGCGATTACTAAGGCAATTAAGCAATCCCAGAACATAGATCAATAAAGTGATTGTCAGAAAATAATACATGATCCTGAAGGGACATGATAAACAAATCCGCCCAGTCTGCTGATTCCATGAAAAAGTATCGCCTCATTGCTAGCAAATGCTCTTGCAATCCGAACCCTTCTTCCAGCATCTTGATAACCAACTTACTGACATACTTATACCTAGCATAGTTAAGTGGAAACAGAAGTTTGGCAAAACAGCTGCTCTGCAAAGTACAATATCATGCAGGTTCATTTTAGTTTAAAGAATCTCAGGGCATGGTGTAAATGCATATTAATGACAAATAATCATACGGAATCAAGCTTCTAAATGCACACATAAAAGGAATGCAAAGAATAACAGGATACTGGAGCAAGATTTCCTGCACGAGACATTTGTCAACAATAAAATCAAGTGGAATCCGAAACACACCCGGTGCACTCTCCCTGTGGCCTCCAAAACTTGCATTGCCAGTATAATGAGAACTACCAAGCAGCTTCTCCCAACTATCACCACCACAAACATCTGCAGGTACTCTGCCAGCTTGATTGTGCTCTTTCAAGTTTGCAGGCGAGCTAGCAGAAGGCACTTCACCATAATTATAAAGTATCACGCCATCTTCACCAAAGTGTTTGTGTTTCTCGTGTCTGATTTTAATGGCAAGAGGATCATTGGAAGAGGATGGCAATTGAGACCGTGAATCAAGTATTGCATTGCTATCTACCTTCTCCAGGGACGCAGTACAAGGGTCCACCACAGTTGAAAAGTTAAAATAAGCTAATAATCTAGCATCTAATGGTTTGCTCCCCAGATGAAAGTGCTTAAGTTTCCCCAACATTGGGGTTCCACTAAGAAAATCAGATCCGTAACGGGTCTCCCAGGACAGAATACTAGAGATTCCTGAAGCAGGGTTGTCATTTGTATCCAAAACATTGCCCAAGACTTCCTTTATCAAACCATTCTTAGTGCACATTCTCCTTGTAAATAGTGGCGGACCTCCACTTAAAGTTTCCCTATTCGTTTGGTATTCCAGAGAAGAGTTATGTTGCTCACTACAACCAGAGATGTTTGCAAGTCCATGTAACCACTGATTCTCAGTTGCACAAGCTGTGCGTAGTCTATCAGTGATACATGAGCCTCTGCCTGTCCATATATAAGAAGACGCACACAAGTTTCCTGCAGGTGTTTCATTTTGAAACAAACTCATGTGATCCATTGATTGTGTCTTCTCAAAAACGACATGCGACTTGCTGTCCACAAGAAGGGGTTGTTTGACTCTTGTCGGCTTAGGTAATGGACTGTCAGTAGTACTACACTTAGAAAACCTCAAAGCAGATAGATATCTTTGATCCTGAATAACACAATCACTCCTGATCAGCTCAGAATTACTCTCCTCTTCGGAATCACTGGCAGAGGAACATTCTGAAACATCAGATGCATCCAGGAAATCAAATTCTTGGTTTTCCACCTTCATATGGGAGAATTCAGAATCAACACGATCGACAGCCCTGAAAAGCAGGAAAACCAAGTTGCCAAGCTGAGAAAGAATGTAAGTATTTACAAATCACCACATAGCAGAAAAGAAAATTCCATTTCATTCACAATCACAAGACTGGTGATGGGGAGATATATTGACAAAGGACGGAGTAAACATTTGATTCACTCTCCACCAGCAAAGAAGAACCAACCTGTCTTCCAAGTCAACATTTTGTACACTTCCATTGTCTCTCTCAAGAAATACAGGTCCAAACACAGGAGGTGCCACCTGCAGAAAGGAGAAGTGAGAAATTCTTACAATAAATGTGGTGCAAAACAAACACCAGCAGACAAGGATTGTCAAAGTGGCATTCACCTATGGACCAATAACTTGTCTCCACTTACGACTTAGCTGACTCCTTATCAAAGAAACAAAACATACTGCAACAATAGTGCCGTAGTGGGTCTCAGTCTTTGTGAATAAAGATGTTGAACAACCAAAAGATCTTCGATTAAGCACAAAAAAGAATGTGGTTATTAGTTGCTCTGCAAATTATGTGCCATGTGTAAACAACAAAGAAAGAGGGGGAACAGTAAACTTGAAGACGTAGGAATATCAAAATTAAAAGGTAGTCAAAAAAGAAAGGAAAATTATTAGGGTATATGTTTCAATATGTCAAAGCTTCAATTCGAGTTCTCCAAATACATGACACAAACTGATTTAGTAATGACAGGAAGGTTACAGGTTACCCCTTGCTAACTTTGGAGAATATACCCGCGTATAGTACACGGACTCTTTAAGAGTTATGAAACAGAAAATGACATGCTTGCCACTCCTCTTCAGCCATTGGCTATACATGGTCTATTATCTAACTTCCACATTCTACACATCGTGTAAGGAAACTCAGTAAGGTGACAGCAAAGGACGACAAGGATGCAAGCCAAGATATCAACTATCATGTCATAATATAGTTTTAGTTAGTAAAAAAATGTGCAAAAATCATTTGAGGAGATCACAGTTTACCTGCTGGTATCTAAGTTCCAATCCACTCAGCAGCTTTTCAATTTTATCCTGCATGTTTACATAGTAGTTGTTCCTTGCAATTACCATTTCTTCTAAATATCCCTTGCTGAAAATCAGCGGAGTTGTGCAAAACATATGATTACTTGAATATCCATTCCAGCTAGGGAGAAAGTCATCATATGTATGATCATCTGAGCCAACATAAGCACAAAACTCAAGCAATTTCTTCAGTACTTGGAGCTGCTGACCAGCTCTGATTATTGGACTCAAACTGTCTTTGAGGAAACAAGGCACAGAAACTCCATCTCGCTCCTAATGAAATCAGCCCAACCACGTTATGGTAGTTATGATTATTAAAAAACGAAAGTTTGCTAATTAGATAATTCAACACAATTGGACAAACATTACCTTGATACTTGGCAATGGTAATTCAATATGCATTCCAACGTTACCATATGGGTGAGGCTCCAAACTACCCACATATTCCACTACAAATTCCTTATATGGGTCAGTGATCTCAGCCTTAAATATCCAGGACCTTATAAATCCATAATATGGTTCAAATGACCGAAGAAAGAGGAACTTGAGGAGAGTGCAATGACCAGGATCAGCAACCTACAAGAAACTCATTGGCGAGAAGTATTGTATAAGCAAAAACTGAAGTTCTCAAGGTAAAGAAATAACTGAAACCTAGAAAGAACAATTTCCAAATAAAAACACACAATTAAAATGGTACAATAGGAAGAGCAAGTGACGGTTATGGGTATGTGGGGGTGGGTTTGGAGAAGTACTACGCTGCACCGAAATAGAGCCAACAGTATGGCATTTCATAACTTATATCCTGGAACATTTACGTCCACGGTTGAGCCATAATAACAACTGAGGGTATGTCAGGGGAGGAGAACTTTTAAGAAATTTTATTTCTTTCAAATGTTCCAGTCAGTATTTACAGTTTGTCTTCCCATTCAGACATACCAAAATGTGGAAGATGACCCTAACCAGAAAAGGAAGTGGAAGACAAAACAGCACAGAATAAGAATTTTTCGTTTTACTGACCTGTAGTTGTCCATACAAGTGACTAAGAAGATTGCCTCCTCTGTGGAAATTGATAAATTCTGAATTTGCTTTTGCACCTAACTCTTCAAATGAAGAGACAGAGAAGCTTAGAGCTATACTGTGTAGATTGCAGATGTTCCCAAGAGCTTCAATCCTTGTTCTCAGTTCCTTAGTGTGCAGATAAATTTCCAGCAGGGTAACTTCAGGGTGCACCACACTGGTGAGAGGTGCTGTCCCTTCAGATGACTGAACCAAGGGAGCCCCAGCGTTTGATGAATGCCTTAAACCCACTGAAGCACATACTGTATTTAAACTACAGATGTACCCCTCTAAAACCTTCCCAACAGCAACTGCATATGCTTGATTCACTAAACTGTAAGGAGGACAGTCTACATCTCCTGTATTACCATAGCAGCCACTCCCTTCGGCAACCACATTAGGAACACCAAGTTTCCTTCCTGGTGAATATGTTTCAGAGCTCAAACAAGTGAAATGATCAACAAATTTCCTGAGAAGAAAAACCAAACATCCAAAGCAGCCGATTGAGTTGAGAATCTTTCCCATAGCTTGAGTGCTTGAGGAACGACTCCATAGACTGGGAATTCTGTGGTAGGTTCTATCAGCAGAGTCTGAGTAAAAGGCGACAGAGAGCTTCTCAATGCTTAGGAGAGCTGATGCAACTCCTTGCATAGCATTCAACGCTAACCTCACCAAACTTGTCTCCTGCAGCCCAAAATTACAAAGCAAGAAACTTTACTTCAGACCTGGCATGAACACTTGATTCTCTTGCGTTCCAGATTAATGTATGCAAATTAATAGAGAGTCAAGACCAGCAACGACAAAGATAAGAAAATGTTGCTTCACTACACTGATACAAAAGCCAGACCTCTAATTCTCCACCCATAAAACCTACCGAGCAGAAACGAGCTAACTAGTAAAAGGAAATTAACTCCGCCTTCCCAACCCTAAAGCAGATTTCGACTGGAAAAGCACAATTTCCACTCTAATCAGTAAATTGCACCAAAATTAGGTAAGCAAAACGTATCAAGAAGCTACATTGCCATCCGCGTCAAAACCTGGGAGGGAAACTCACCGACACGGAAGAAACGAGGGGAGGCGAGCTGGACGAATCAAGGTGGCCGGAGTGTGAGCGACGGGAGGCAGCATTTTGCGAAGGGATGGACTCCCAGGTAGAAGGAGGAAGCCACGCATCTTCCACCTTCAGCTTTTCGAATAGAGATGCGAAGTTCGTATCCACCGCCATTGGCCGATCGTCTCCCGATAGCTAATTCTCAGGGATCATCAAGCTGCCGCCGTGGATTTTCAGCGACACGGCCGAGTTGGGACTTTGCAAAGTGTGAAATGGCCGGTGCCCGGCTGCCCGCTCCCTCTTTTTTACTTTTGAATTTCGAGATATTTATTTATCACATTAAAGGAGAAAAGAAAAAGGTTTTACAGGTTCAACCAATGAACCGTAATACGGACCTGGTTTGTGTTGACCCGGGCCCGGGAAGGAAAAAAAAATCGGCCCGGCTGACGTCGTTTAGACGCTGGGAATAAAAATAAAAATAAAAAATTGATTCCAATTGAAACCTTCTTCAACAGTGAGAGTCGCCTTCTTCTTCTTCCCATTCTCCTCTTCAGCTGGACAAATCCCTAGTTTCATTTCTCTCGTCAGCTGCGATTCAGCTCCCCTCACTGCCAGCCGCTACTCCGTTCTTCTAGACGGTCATCTCCGTGAGCTAGCCACTTCTTAGCATAGCCGTTTCCGCCGAGACTTTCTCTCTCCGCCGCCAACGCCCCAGCCACTGATTCTCGCCGGAAATCAGCTCCTCTGTTTCCCTCCGCCACTCCGCGCTGGTAAGTCTGTTCTAGGAAGCTTCGTTCTTTCTGTTGGGTGTTAGAATTTAGTTTTGCTTATCATTTCTGCTTTCTAATTAATTCCAATTGCTTATGGTTGAATTGCTGGTACACGGGTTTGGGAGCATGTTCTAATATCCTTTGATGAGTTTCAACAGCTTTTTGAGATGGATTTGAATAGCGTCGAACAAAGATAGGTTCTTAATGGGGAGTTAATGTATTCAAAGGTGATTGATTTAAGGAGCCTTGGCAGCGTAGGCCACTTTGGTAAGGAAGACCCTAGAATGGTCTTGTTAGGCTGTTACCAGTAATTGCTTGCATATAGAAGGTGAGCATGAATGCTAATGTACCTTTTTACTTGAGCCATTTGTTGGAGGTGGGCCGATTTCACTAACCTACATATATTAAAGCTCTGCAACTCAAGTTTCCGACACTGAAATAAGCTTGCACATTTTCAGATTGTTGTGGAAGAAAGTGTCTTTTTGTGTATTTACAGTAAATCTTACTCTTCTCGTTGAGGTGCTCATGGAAAGAAGATGATGTTGTCAATGCAGGTTCATAAGTACCCGTGACTTAATGATCAGCCCTCTTATTTTCTCAACATGAACAACCAGTGTGGAGAAGAACATGTAAAGAAATTGGTTGTTTTCTGGCTATTCGCAGGCGTGGATGCTTAATACTAGATTGAAAAGTTTTGAACTTTGTCATTCATTTCATGATCGTGCAGGAAGAAGCAACCGTAGCAGGATTCGAAGTCCCCAATTCTCCCGATTCAAGCTACAACAACCCTTACCCTGGTACCGAAGACGAGGCAAGGGATCCACCTGCAGTCCCACCACACCTACAACAGACCTTGCTTACCTACCCAGCAAGTGCAGATGCATCGGAGTCAGTCCCACCTCCACAGAATGTTATTCTAAACCATCTCTACATCGAAAATCGGGAGCCCCCACGATCTGTCGTGGCACTCGGGTTCACTCATCGCTTTAGATCAAAGTATGTCACGGTTGTGCTGTACAAACCTGTTCAGAGGAGGGGGAGCAGCAGCTCATAGGATGCACATAGAATAAAAAAGGAGACCTTCATTAGAATGTGGGTTTTTATCTCCCTCCCCCTGACTCTCCCTCATTTGTTCAACTTGCTTCTTATAGGGTGTGCAGATTAGAAGGGAGAAAAGGGATGATAAGGTAAAGAATCCGGAAAGGAGAATTTTTATTTCCTCATGACCGAAATGATGATTGAACCTCGGATGGTTCTCTCAGCTGGGATTGTCAGCTGCTGTCATTAGGGCTTTAGATAGCATTGGATGGTTTCTTGCCTTTCTTATTGTGTGAAAGAAAGGCAGAAACATACTATGTGTGTTCATTCAATGATTTGGTCCATGTTGATGGTACTAGCTCTCTTATTTAGTGATTATATATCTATGTTATAGCATTTGAGGAGTTAGAAACTGGTGTGTTTCTGTAACTAGAGTGTTTCTGTTTTGTGTATTCTACCTCCATTGCCCATTATATGTGATGAAGTTTGCCCATAAAGTCATTATTCCTTCGATAAAAGGTTTGGATTCCCTTTTAGGCTGGGATTAATCTTTGATCCATGTCTGCAAATTCCTCTCTATGCATTGCATTACAGCATGGTCCAGGAAACAGGGGAAATAATAAGAAGGAATATCCTTGGCTTTGCCTAAGCATGAAGCCACCACCATTAGCATATCTCCTCCAACCATCAACAACCATGGAAGATCCCCAAAACTAGCTAGATAGCTTGCTAGTAAAGGAAAAGGACAGGAATAACAATTATCAATCCCAGAGGAAAACCAAAACTGAACCAGCCATAGAAGCTTGCCATAAGCACGTACACAAAGAATAACACCATCTCAAAGCAAATCTGTCTCCAAAACTTGGCTCCCCCGCCCCCTAATAGTTCTGCATATAAAAACACCTGCAATCCTCCATACATCTTCATCCTGTCTCATCACAACATAAAACCAAATCCCATATAGTTTCAAAGTTCATATCTGCAAGACAATCAAAACACATTCAGAAAACTCAAGAGATCATCGCCATGGCGACAGGGACGAGGGCTGCTGCTCAACGATCATACGAAGATTTCGAACCCGCCACTGAATGGAAGCGGGAGCCCTCAGCAGATACCTTGCTTGTCCACCTGCCTGGTAAGGTTTACAAATAACACTCGTCAAATTCATAATAAACGTTATAGCACTGTTATGGAACTTGTATTGTATTGTGACTGCAGGGTTCAGGAAAGAGCAAATGAAGGTGCAGGTGACTTCTGCCCGGCAGCTGAGGATAGTGGGTGAACGTCCGTTGGGGAACAACAACAAATGGAGTCGTTTCAAGAAGGAGATTCCCATCGGATCGAACTACGATACCAATGAAATCAATGCCAGGTTTGACAAAGGGATTCTCTACGTCAAACACCCCAAGGTCATCGCTCAGCAGCCGCAGCCGCAGCCTGCCGCCAATAACCAGCAATTACCGTCGCAAAAACCGGCGGCACCGGCGGTGGAAGCGCCGAAGCCAATCCCACCACCACCACCAGCAGCAGCTGCAGCGCCTCAGCTAGTGAAGCCGCCGTCATGGAGGGCGCAGGATCAGAAGCCGATGGCGGCTGCAGTTCCGCCGCCGGCGCCTGCTTCTGCACCTCCGCCAAAAGAAGCGTCGATATGGAAGGTTCCGCCAACAGAGCCCTCTGCTTCACGGCCCCCACGAGCTGAGACGAAGAACCCAGAAACAGTAAATGTCGGATAAGGATAGTCAATTGCTCTGTTTTTTTTATTTGTACTCACATTTTTCGCCCCCTTCAAATTCAGGGCATGGGAGCAAAGCCAGATAAATTCTCAGAACAAGAGAAGAAGGAGAAGCATGACAAGACGGCGACAAATGGGCAGCTGCAGGCGGCGAAGGCTGACGAAATGAAGAAAGCAGAAGGAGGTGGCAGCAGCAGCAGCAGCAGGGGAAGGATACCATCGCCATTGATGGCAAGTGAGAAGTACAAGGAGGCGATCAGTGGGATCGGAATGAGGGTAATGGAGATCAGGGAGAATCCCAAGAGCCTGCTGAACTTGGTTTTCGCTGTTTTGGCGGGAATCGTCATCCTGCTCTACCTCAAGAATGCGGCCAAGTCGGTGTTCAAGTTCAAGGGTGCTGACATTGACGAACTATAACTTCCCCCCAACAAATCAAGTCTCTGTTTGCCGTGTGAAAATTTAATTGACATTGAAAGCTGATTTCTAACAAGTTGATGATGATACACTGGTTTTAATTGTTCTAGGATTTATGGAAATAAGAATGAAATAACTAATGATAGGCAAATGGGTGGGATTTGTAACAGATTTAACGAGAAAGTCGAGTTCTTTCATGTGAATCCATGGCTGCTTTCTATTCTTTGCTACCAACTGATTGCTCTGTAGTTGCTTTATGTTTGAAACGCTTCTTGCAAAACTCAAGAGTTGGGTATCTAAACTTTGGGGCATTTACTATTGAAGGTAAATCGTCTCGAGAGGATTCAAACGCGAGACGAAATACAAACTCAGTACAAAGATCTTACATCAACCCCTTAACAAAACTCAATTTATCACCCCTACATGGATAAAAAAATGAACATGAATCGTTGGCCTTTGAACATTGCTATGTGAAATAAATGGACTTCGATGCAGTAAAAGGAAAGCTCAAGCACCATGGATGAGAACATACATTGGAATGGGAACAAAGAATCAAAAGAAGGTTAACCGCTGTTAGAGCATTACCTTACCCTTCTCAACTCACAAGAATAGAAACCCTTTGCACTAGTATTGTTGGGGTGCTTCAGAAAGAAACGACCCTCCAAAAATTGACGTATGCCTCTTTAAACAGCGCGCACACGGTATTCTTTAGTAAAAGGCGAAAGAATAGTTCGCTATGTGCTCACTGCAAGGCTGCGTGGTTTTCAGAAGAGGAATTGGCTGTGATTTTAAAGGAGACTGGTTGTAGCTTCTCATAAGATAGTCGATGTGGTAAGGATTGCTACACGGTGAATAGAGGCCGAGGGCTTGTTATTGGGCTTCACCGTGTCTTACACTACCCAGCTTCTAAATGGGGTTTTTATTTGGGCCTGTCTAAAACCCACCAAACCTTCAACCATGGGCTTCCCTGCTAACAATGAAGTCCAAACGCCTATCGCCGGTAAATAAAGACTTCTTTCAATCGGGTTTTCTGGTTAGCTTCTCCGATTATAATTTGAGCAATCACCCTCTTTCATATGGATTCCGCTCCTGTGGGTGATCTCTTGCTTCAAATTCCCCGCATTTTGGGAAATCTGCTGCGACTGTGAGAGTAGGAGAAGGTGGGTTTCGGGAGACGGAATCAGCTATAACCAATAGCATCTGCCGCCGCACGTCGAGAAAGAAGAAGGCCGGCGACAGTAGCCACCATTCGCCGTCTCAAGCACATCAGCAACCTTCGCCGAATCCGGCGAGCAGAAAGGCGAATTCTTGAAGGAAATAGATTGAGGAGAACTGGTTCAGTAGCACCTGCTTTTTGGGTTCTGATTTTTGGGTAATGTTGTGCACTTTTTCTCCTCCGTTCGTTAGGGCGAAACTGAACAATGTCTTCCTTTTTCATAATGAACCAGCTGGAATGAGATGTGTAGCATGTTGCTTCATGATGAACAAGCATGTTCTTTGTGCTCGCTATACTAGCTGAAAGTATGTGTTCTTGAGAGTGTATAGATAATGAGGTGTCGAACCTTTTAAGAAGGCAGACCTTAGACCTTGTTCTATGACTTACTTTCCCTTTTCAAGTTCACCACTAAAACTTGGGCAGTGACTGCAAGCTTTGTCTTTGTTGCAGTGCCTTCATTCCTCAAACCGAAACCAACCGTTGTATCGTATCTTTAGTTAGTTAGTTTTGTGGTTTACATGCTTTTGCTGCTAAACTTGCTCTATTTGAATCTTGGAACATCCTTCTCTGAGACCTATAGGAGAAGCCTAAACGAAACTAGAAGGCTAAGTGATTTGACCTATACTGTCACTTACACTAACATCTAGGGTGAAATGTTTGCACATAGCCAATCAGTATTTTGGAAAGGCAGAAACAATGGCTGAGAGGCAAGCTCTGGATCAGCAACCTCAACCGCAGCAACAAGAGCCACAATCACCATCGCAGCAGCAATCTCCTCCAAGGGAAGACAACATGATAGCTTGTGTCATGGCTTTAGAGGCTGCTTTGCTTCCTTGCTTGCCCGCCAGAGAGCTCCAAGCTATTGACCGCTCTCCCCATCCTTCTCATCAGAGTAAGTATATTCTCAGTTTGTGACCCTATGAATGAAATGTGAAATCAACTAGGGCTTTAAACTTTTTGCTCTTTGCAAGTTGTGAACACTTGAGTTTAGTTTTTGAAAGGATCTGTGTCAGCCGTCATTCTGCATGTTGCAGTTGATGTGGAGAGGTTCTCGAGAGAATTCATGAAGGCTGCTAAGAAGCTTCAACTTTATTTCATCAATCTCCAACGTGAAGACCAGCCGACTGAAACTGAATCGTTGAGAAAGGTATGCTATGATTTGTCTAGTAGAACATAAGTAGAAAAGCATGTTCCTTTCCACATGAACGTGACCCTGTGTGATAAACTCTGCTCATGAATTCAATAGGAAATTGCTGTTATGGAGGAAGAGTTAAAGACGAAGGACGAGCTTATCAAGAAGCAAGAGAAACTAATCCAAGGATGGCAGGAAGAACTCAAAGATCAGTTGGAGAAGCATAAGATGGAACTGGAGAGAGTATAGACATAGTAATGAATGAACTCTTAACATTTGTAATGGCTACCAGTCAGTCTGTCACTACTGAAAATGTTTTGTTCTTCTCATCTCTGGAACTAGAAGCTTTCATCTTTTTGTAGGCCGGAAGCTCCAGTTGTTTCTTTGCCTACTTGATCTCAGATGCTAATATAATTTAGTTTGATTTTGATTCTCAAATTGGTCCCTTTTTATTGCCAAGATTCCATTGATTCTGACAAATGAGCTTTTGATCGAAACTCTGATAATTTTTCTTTTGTTTCCAATTCCATCAGTCAGATTCTGGTCATACAATCAATATACTTTATGCTTAAATAATGGCGAGAGGAAATTGCAAAACAAAGATCAAAATTAAGATTACACAATCATACTTTTACATGAGATACTCACTCCAAAATCCAGATGTTGATTCTATCATCTAAACTACACCAACCCTTATACTCCCGATCAATTGTCTCCATGCAACCTACGCAAACATGGATTAATTCCACAATCCTGTAAGGGTTCCAACTTGAACAATCTTTCTACTCTTCCACTGAGAAGGACATTTTTTTAAATGAAGATCACCAGCCCTTTTACTTCTTAGCATAAGTGATCAGCATGGGATTTTGCTGTATCTTGAAGCTCTGCAGCCCTTGCATTGCCACAGTCGACTGGGCCTCGTCTCCATACTCGATGAATGCGATCCCGGGTTTGGCTTCGACCATTCTCACCTCCTTAAAACCAGGGTACTGCTGGAACAGCATCTGGAGCATCATCGGAGTTGTCTCATTCGGAAGGTTCTGAATGAACAGAATGTTGTTTGGTGGTGCTGGTGCCTCAGGGACCAGAGATCTCACACCAGGATATGGTATTTGTGATAACTGCAACCCAATACGAAATGTGTTGGTTGAATATTCACTAATTAGAAAAAGAATAGAGAATGAAATTCAATAAAAGGAAAAGAAAATACATACAGGAGGTGCTGCGCCATAGCCTCCAGGATAACCTGGATTGACACCCATTGCCATTTGATTTGGATCATGTTGTTCCTTCTTGCTCTTTTTACCTGTCCAATTAGACAAGAACATACATATCAGACAGAGGGTATCAAACAGGAAAAACGAAATTGTGTAACTTAAATGATCCCTACAGAACATATAGGTCTTCGATTGGAGGGTCCCATGGTTTGGTTAACATAGGGTAAAAATAAAGCTTCATGGGAGCAAAGACATCAAACTACAATGCCTGTGGCGAGGATTACAATATTTTCAGTGTCTACACATATCTAGACGCAAAATGAACGAAGGGTCCTGAATTCGTGAAACTGTTATCCAGCATCTAGGTGGATGATGAACACATTCTAATTAGGCGGAGAGTGGAATAAGGTGGAGAAACTGTACCTTTCTCTTCATGCCTCTTTCGCTTTTCTCGTGGAACAAAAGTTCCATCAGCCTTTGCTATTACATCAGATTTAGTTTTCGCGTATTGTATTCTCTGCACAACAACAGAGACAATAATGTTAGTCATACAAAAGACACATTACTTCGAGGAATGTCTGAGTAGCAACAACATTGTTGTGGAATAACCATCCATGGAATCAAAATCCACAAGTTCAAGGAGCAACAGAGACAACAATGTTAGCCAGTAAAAAGACACAGAACTCCGAGGAAACTCTAAGTAGCAACACCATTGTTGTAGAATAACCATTCATGGAGTCAAAATCCACAAGCTCCAACTGAAGATAATAAGTTTGAAAATCATACAGAAGAAAGCAAACTCCAAAGCTAACAAATTGATGGGCCATTGATCTCATTCTTCAAATTTGTACTCGGCCCTACTCTTCCATTGACAACTAATACCAAAAAACCTATCTTAAACTGAATGCAAGAAACGCTGCAATATTCAATCAAACCATCCATTATTCAACCAGAGTTCGAAATAAAGGGGGAGATTTTCACATACCATGGGCTTATCATAGAAGGGGAAGGACTGCATTTGCCTCATAGCATTTGTAGCAGACTGAACTTCCTCGAAGACAACCCAAGCTTGCCCCTTGTGCTTCAGAGTCTTGAATGCCAATATCTCCACTATCTTCCCGAATTGCGAGAACACCGCGTGCAGCGATTTCTTCAGCTCTGTTTCACAAACATTGCAGATTCGAAGAGTACAATTAGAGCTCCAAAATCTAGAAAATTTTTACACATCCGCGAAAGGTTTAAAAAACCAAATAAAAGTTTCGAGCTTTACCGTCGAGCTTGATTTTCTCGTTGAGATTGTTGATGTAGATCGTCATGTTCGGAGTGACTTCATTATTGCCTGTCGGTGGATTATTCGTCTCCGCCATTATGCTATTCTACGGTTACTGAGCTCCGGCGGGAAGAGAGGGGTTTTATGATGTGAAGATTTTCTGGCGTCGCCCGTTAAGCCCTAATTTGTGCCGGTGAGCTCAATATGGGCCTCGTTCGGAAAGGATTTGGAAAATATTCAAAATAGTCCTTTAACTTAGAGCTCATTGATACTTTAGGACTCATGAATTTCTTCTTGTTTTAATGGATCGCTTTCATATTCAAAACATAACTCTAAGTAGATCTTACATAATTTACCAATCTCCTAGAACTTAAAACTTGTACAAATTCACTATACTTCGTACTTACATCAATGGGCAACATTAGACACGTTAAACGTGACTTTTACTGAAACAACTGTTTAGAGAATTGTCAAATTAGTAAGTCTCTTGATTATTAGAGACCGTTTCCATCAATATTTTTATTGATGGGCAGATAGTATACTTGAACATGTAAAATATGTTGCTGCAAATCCCTGAGGATGGGAAAAGAACATAAAACTATTACATTACAGAAGTCTCCACATACAAAATGCCTTTGTTATAAGCCAACCGCCCACTTCCTTAATCCACAAGTCATGACATGCTCTGTCCCAGCTGCTTCAAAAAGCAGTCTGAAAATGAGCCATGGAAAAGATCAGCCTTCCTTCTATTATTCCAATCAATTCCAAAATCAAATCCCACCCTGCGAAAGCAAGAGAAAAAGGAATAAACCCATTCAAAAGAAAACAACTTCCTCATCACCACAATATTCTCACATTGAGAGAGATATAAATAGGCAGGGCAGCCATGGAGTTTAATGTGGAGTATTCAGGGAGGAAACTAGAAGCAGCAGCAGCAGCAGCAGAGGTCCTTAGAAAATGAAACAAGCTGGGCAACAACTTCAACTTGGGTACCAGGATTTCGAGCCGACGGCAGATTGGTTGAGAAATGATGCTGAATCTCACACCTTCCTCCTCTACCTTCCTGGTGAGATGAGAGCATTCCCCCCAAAACTTCTTTCTTTGTAGGGTGGCTGATTAGCATCACATTTACATGCTTGCATTTGAAAAGCTTCGTTGCAAGTAAAGTAAACAAAGTGGCCTGATGGATGCAGGTTTCAGGAAGGAGCAACTGAAGGTTCAGGTGACATCAGCTGGAAACCTGAGGATAAGTGGAGAAGGTCCCATTGTTGGCGACAATAGAATCAGCCGGTTCAGACATGAAGTCTCCATCTCATCATCATTGTATGACATTGATGGGATCACTGCAAAGTTCGAAGGTGGCGTGCTTCGGATCAAACTCCCCAAGAAGCAGCAGCCACAGGAATCTGAGCCTCTGAAGAAGGCAGACGAACAAGTGCCACAGAAAGATCAAACAGATTCAGAATCGAATCTGGAGAAACCTAATCCGCCTACTGATCCAAAAGTTTCAGCAACGGATGGCCCTGGAAATGGCACTTTGAATGATCACAAGACTACTCCTCAGGATGCTGAAGCTGTGAAGCAGGAAACAGCAACTGAAGTTTCTTCCCCTGGTGTAGTGCTGAATTACAGGGAGTTCTTTGATGGGATTGTGACGAAGTTGAAGATGATCAAGAGGAGCGAATCGGCAGGCATTGTCATGGCAGCAGGATTGATGGGTCTGGTAGTGGGATTTTGCCTGGAAAAGGCAGTCAGGTCGTTCCAGGGCGGAACAGGGGATGTAGCTTCATGAAGAATGCTTAAACAGTACCAATTTGGTTTGTCAAGAAATGAATTTGAAAATGGTGCATGTTTGTGCAGATGCTGAGAAAACATTAATGTTATGATAACATAAATAAATAACCTTCAGCTCTCAGGAATGAGATGGATAAACTGAAATCTAGCTCAATTCAATATATTCAAACTGCAACACCCTGGCATAAGTTTTGAGTTTGTTGTAGCACCAGCCATTTGTCCCAAATCCTAAACTCAGATGCCTGGCTTAATAACTCCCTCTTTCATCTGCACATATAGTCTAATACAGTGGTAATTGGCACCAATAGCTACTAGGTAAATATACTAATACAATTCAATGGTTCATGGAAGTAGAATGGTAGCTTCTCACTCTTAACTTCAACACCAGAAAATGGAGATAATGGTGAAATATATGAAAGGTAGTTATCAAATAACTATCGACAATATATGTCGCTGACATTAGGCTAGTTGATCAGGGAGCTCCAACCTGATAGCAACCCATCGGTCATCACCAAATGGCATGATTGTGACTCCTTGAGGGAATTCGATATCTGGGTATGAGGTGTAGACCCTGACCTTGTTTAGGACCAACTCACTCCTTGCTTTCGTCTGTTGGCTGGCAATGGAAGAAGAAGGGCAGGGGATTTTTTCTGCTGGATTCACAAGCTGGGAGTGGGAGTAATTGGAGGCTTCTGGCTTCTTTGTGACTACTTCATCAGAACTCCTTGCTGCTTCAGCTGCTGTCAAGTTTATTACTTCTTTCACTTCTTCTTTGTAACCTTCAGTTTCAGTAGGACCAGGGGCAGGACATTTTTTGGAAGCGAGTTTCAAAGTGGTGTAGGCAACCTTGGCAGCATTCATCTCAGCTTCCTTCTTGGACTTCCCTTCTTCACCTTGGAATTTCTCTGCACCCACTTCCACGGAGGAAATGAAGGCTGGAAGATGTGGGGGGCCTGTCTTCATAGTCTTGTAAACCGGCAGGAGGGTCCTTTCTCTCTGAGCTAGCTCCTGCAAGAGATTCTTGTAAAACCCAGGTACATATTCACCCTGAAATTCAACAAAGAGGAAGGGAGAGGGGTAGAGAGAGAGTAGAAGAAAAGTTCAGTCAGTCCAACAGACGAGGATGTCTGGAAAAGGAAGAAAGATTTGAGAGGGGGAAATTGGAGGGATCGGTTGAGAAAACCAGCCTCCTGAAGGGCCTCATTAGAGCTTCCAGAATTCAAAGCGTCTGGATCATGATGGTCATTGCTTGGTACTTCAGAGCCTGCACATTGTCCGATCACATGAGTCGTGACAGGTTTCAAAAGTGATGTTTTTCTTTTTCAAACCTGGAATACAGAGACTTTGATAATCTTTACTCGTAGGTGGTGAAGTGAAGTGGCGGAAGGCAATTTGAGCAGCTTCATTCTGAGCTTGTTTGAAGGAGTTGCATGAAGGAGGAGAGTGAAAGGTGAGACCATCAATGGAAACAGAGGCCTTGAAGCGAGGGCTGTGATCTGGGCCGTCTCTCATTGCAGAGTACCATGGCAAAGCCCATCTCTTCTTCTGGCACAATTCCTGCAGCTGTGTTTTGAACATTCTTCCAGTTCTGAGAAAACCCCACAAATTGTTTCCTGCACAGAAAATGAATTTGGACATACAAGAAGAAGAAAGGTTACAATAAGTTTCTGCATGCAATCCAAGTTGTGCTGCCATTCTGTTTTTCGTTTTCTCCCATGCAATCTGTATTGTGTGAGATTGCCATTGGCAAATGGGTTCAATTATCATGATTGTTCGGTCATGACTCATGAGAATTGTCACTCATATATTCATATGACATCAGCCAGCAATTTCTTAGCATGCAGACCCCTACTTGACAGAAAGTACAGAAATGAAAACAAACAAAAATAGAATGCCAGCCAGATGGGATAAGCCTAGTGGAGCAACATACATAATCTTAGAATTCAAGATCATAGAATCAACGGCATTTACTGATCTTTTTCAAGAACTGAGCTTCCAAGGTGCACCTGCTGAATATAAAAAAGAAAGGCCTTGTCTACGTTTATGGAACAAAAAGTTTCTCATTCTGGAATCTAGACGTCTAATTAACTAAGAGAAGGGCATCACTAAAGACAGGAGGCATTAAAAGATAGCAAGAAATTTAGTATTTGACGTCAAATTCAATGATCGAGGCTATACATTGTTATTGTGATTTTGTGTTTGATCATTTGTCCCAAAACAATAGACACGTTGTTCGCACATTAAGTGCCGGTATCTGTTATATAATACGAACAGTCGATAAAGATGTCTCATCTCATCGGAGATTGCATCTGTGAACTAAATCAAAAGCTGCATGTTTTAAGGTTAACCAACTAGCCAAAAACAAACACATGATACCGAAAAGATAAAAGTCAAAGACCATAAGTCCAAAATAAATAGATGAAACCAATAACCATGAGAAAGAGAGCCGACCTTGGGCTGAATCTCCAAGGTGTTGGAAACTGCATTGAGCTACCAAAGAAGAAACCTTCCTCTTCTGTCAATTCAGTTAAGTTTCTGAGTAATGCAGAATCCTCGTTTCATTCTCCTCTCTGTTGTTTTCCAATTTCCTCGCCAATATAACAGATTAGGAAGTCTCCATCTCAGCATTAATCAAACCAAAATCTTCCACTTCTGCCAAATCAGCTCAAATTAGCCAAAAATGAAGAGTAATCGTCCCATTCTTATCTTTCTTGTTCTCCACTTTCTTATTCACCTTACCCATCCATTATTCTTCAACCTCACAGATTTTGGCAGTCATGTAAACTGGTTAGCCTATCAAGGTGATGCTGAGCACTTGGCTACAGGTTTTCAACTCAACAAGCAAGATAAACCCTGCAGCGTTGCCCGAGCCACCTATATTGAACCCCTCTATTTGTGGGACGACTCCACCAAGACAGTTACAGATTTCACAACACGATTCTCGATCACCACCATCGGTCTCGAAGGCAATGACTATGCTGAAGGGATAGCCTTTTTTCTTGCTCCAGTGGGATACCCGATCCCGCCAAATTCGTGTGAGTACCTGGCATTGATGAACTCATCAAATTTAATTCTCGGCAATCCGAGTCCTGTGGTCATGGTGGAGTTCGACACACACGTGAATGATTGGGATCCGAAAACTGAGCACATTGGGATCAATAACAGCTCCATTAGATCAGCGGCTACAGCCAAATGGGATAGAGACAAGGAAATTGATGACGAAATTCAGGTCTTGATTACTTACAATGCTACAATCAAGAACCTGACAGTGTTCTGGGCATACGAGAAAAGACTAGATTTCAGGCCAGATTCTTCGCTTACTCACCACATTGATCTGACTGAGGTTCTTCCCCAGTGGGTCACGGTTGGATTCTCAGGGTCAACGGGACAAGGGACAGAGGCACACTTCATTAACTATTGGACATTCAACTCCACCTTGGAGCAACGTGGAGTAATATCACCAGAACCAAAACCGACGCCAGCTCCAACCAAGAAAGAACGTTTCCGCTTCAGAAAGTCGCATTTCTTAGTGTCTACTGCAGTTTCTCTCTGTTCTCTGTTGCTTGGTGGTGGTTTGTCTTTGTTTCTACTGATGAAGTGGAAAACCTGGAAGAAAACCAGCGGAAAGTCGGCCACTTCTTTGAATACTGATCTGGAGAGAAGAGCTTTACCAAAGAAGTTTACTTATGCGGAGCTTTCTACGGCTACCAATGGGTTTGCAGATGGAAGGAGGCTAGGCGAGGGAGGTTCAGGACTTGTCTACAGAGGGAACTTGAGCGATTTAGACCTCCATGTTGCAGTTAAGAGAATCCATGCACAATCTGGAAACTCTGGGGATCTGTTCATCAATGAAGTGAAGATCATAAGCCGGGTAATACACAGAAACTTGGTTCCATTCATTGGATGGTGCAATGAGCAAGGTGAATTCTTACTAGTCTACGAATATATGCCTAATGGCAGCCTCGATTCTCATCTCTTTGGTAATGGGAGAACCCTGCAATGGAACTTGAGATACAACATAGCTCTTGGCTTGGCCTCAGCCCTCCACTATCTCCATGAAGAGGTTGAGAAATGTGTCCTTCATAGAGATGTTAAGCCAGCGAACATACTTCTCGACATGGATTTCACAGCAAAGCTAGGCGACTTTGGGATCGCCAAACACATAGACACACGGTTTCCGTTCCTCATGACGAATCCTGTGGGGACTCATGGTTATGTGGCTCCTGAATACCTAGCAGATGGCAAGGCAAGCAAACCTGCTGATGTGTTCAGCTTTGGGGTTGTGGGTCTGGAACTTGCTTGTGGGCAGAGGAATTACAGAGATGGTGATCCTTTGCTCTTGGTTAAAGAGGTTTGGGCACATCATAAAAATGGGAATGTTCTTGATGCTGCCGATGGGAAATTGAGGATGGAATTTGATAGCAAGGAAATGAGGTGCTTGTTGAACGTGAGTTTATTGTGTACTCACCCTACTGAAAGTGAAAGGCCCTCAGCTGCTCAGGTTATCCAGTTTCTCAAGTTCGAAGTGCCGATGCCAGAGCTGCCTCGGATGATGCATGATCCTGTATTCCTTTTCCACTTGGATGCCACTGAAAGAAGAACAAAGTAAACTTACAGGCATACAATACATTTGGCCATTCAAAATGAAGACAAAAGAACAGGTGAACAGATGCAATTTTGTTATAGGGTACATTCTTACACTTCTGTATCTGTCTCAGGGAGTCATTTCTATTCATGATATAGCACAAATTCCAGCTCATTTTGCATTTGGGGTCTGGAAAATCTTTCCCTGGGACAACTGCTGCTTATGATAAACAAAGAGGCATCAGAGAAATCAGGCAACGGTTAATTCAAGGAACAACACACCCTGATAACACGGGGGATAGAATGAAAAGCAGCTTTTTCATAGGATAAAGAACTTTTGAGGGACAAAATCCTTGAAGGACTGGACCAGATTACATCACCATACAATCCTAGAAGAGAGAAGAGAAAGTGAAGTAAAAAAGGAAACGCTTTTCTCATCGAAAGAGAGAAAGAAGCTAATTATTCCACTTTGACACATAAATTTCCTTTAGCTTCACAAACATATCGGAGAGCTGCAGCAACTCTTTTCCGCCACTTGAAGCCAAATTTTCTCACTTGGCATTTGCAAGCTCAGCTCTGAGGAGCTTGGCAGCAGCAACCATGTTGCTGAGTGCAGGTTTGACTTCATCGTACTTGCGGGTTTTGAGACCACAATCAGGGTTGACCCAGAGAACGTGGCTCTCAAGGACAGCAAGCATCTTCCTCACACGGTCTGCAATTTCTTCAGTGGAAGGGATCCTAGGCGAGTGGATATCGTACACACCAGGGCCAATGCCTGCACCATACTTGACTCCTTCACGGAAGACTGAGAGAAGCTTCTCATCTGATCTGGAGTTCTCGATTGTGATTACATCAGCATCCATGTTGATGATTGAAAGAATGATGTCATTGAAGTTTGAGTAGCACATGTGAGTATGGATCTGTGAACCAACATCAAAAGTTTACTCTTTTAGTTAGTTACCAGCATCCATAATGCAAAAACTAAAATCAAAGCCACAAAACTTGGAACAGTTTGCCGGAAGGAAAGTGATGCTGACCTGGGTAGTATCTTGGACACCGCAGTTGGTAATCCTGAAGGAGTGGACAGCCCAATCCAAATAGAAAGCATGCTCCAACTTCCTTAGAGGCAACCCCTCCCTCAAAGCAGCCTCATCAATCTGGATAACGTTTATTCCAGCCTTCTCAAGATCCTCAACCTCATCCTTGATGGCAAGTGCGATTTGGTAGCACGTCTCATGCCTAACAAAAATGAGAGAGTAACACATCAAAATTCTCCACAAAAAGATCTGGAAGCCCAAGATTTGGATACTTAGTTGCTTCAGCAACTGTCATACCTGGGCTGGTCATTTCTAACAAAAGACCAGTTCAAAATGGTGACTGGCCCAGTAAGCATTCCTTTCATTGGTCGCTTGGTCATACTTTGGGCAGTACTTGACCAGAATACCGTCATGGCCTTAGGGCGGCTCACATCACCATAAATGATTGGAGGCTTAACACAACGAGAACCATAAGACTGAACCCAGCCATTGGCTGTGAAGGCAAAGCCCGACAATTGCTCACCAAAGTACTCAACCATGTCATTCCTCTGTGCATTGAAGGAGATAATTAGAAATGAACATTAAATTGAAAATATATTGACCATACAGAAAAATGAACATTAGTAATTAAGTTTTAGTGGCAATCCTTACTTCTGGTTCACCGTGCACCAAAACATCAATGTCGAGTTCTTCTTGGATTTTGACAACTTTGTTAATTTCCTCCTTGATAGCCTTCACATAGTCATCCTCAGAAATCCTACAATTGACAGAAGGAACAGAAAAAGTAAGAGACACTATTAACTAGCAAGAAAAAATGCAAACTTCTCAACAAAAGGACAACGAGCAAGAATGTTCTACAATGGAAAACAAAAGGGTAAGCAACAATGTTCTTACTTCTTAGCCTTGTATTCGCGGCGAACCCTCCTAAGATCCATCGTCTGTGGGAATGATCCAATGGTAGTTGTGGGAAGACTTGGAAGGTTCAATTTCTTTTGCTGAGCAGCCAGTCTAGCACTCACCGTTGTGGGTCGGCGTCGGTCAGAGCCCTTTAGTGCAGCAGCCTGGGCAGCGATTATTCAAATTAAAACAAGCGCACGTGTTAGCAAGCATAATATATATCATGACGTGAATTTGAATTGTAAGTGAAGAAATCACTTACAGCAATCTGAACAGACTGATTTGTAACCCTTGGAGAGGATTTTCTCGAAGCAAGAGCAGTAGCATTAGCTGAGAAGAATGGCTGGACAGAGAACAAGAAGAGATCAAGAAAAAGAAAAAATTGCAGGCTAACATCAAATATCACCTATCAAACTGGTTTTCTTTCCTATGAGACAGACTTAATTGTTTGGCAAAACTACCAATTAGCAAGAACTCTGCCAAATAAAAACGATGAAAAATGCCACAAATATTACCAAAGCGCATGAAACATTACCTGATCCTTGTGACCACTAAGTTCCTTGGCCAAGGCATTTACTTCAAGTACTTTTTGGGCTGCAAATGCGAGCCATGACTTGATCTCTTTATCTAACTTGGTCTCATTGACTAGATCAACAGCAGTGTGTAGAAGAGAGCAGGATGAGGAAACAACAAGCTTGTCTGCAGAAGGAACAATGACAAAGCGATCAGTTACTATCAAAAGGAGTCATTTATGTTACACTTGAACTGAAATATAGACTGCATACCTTTACCAACAATGCCCTCAATAGAATGCAGAACTTCAAGAGAAGCAGCAAGATCATTAGCCCAAATGTTCCTTCCATCCACAACACCAGCAAATAAGTATTTTCCAGAAGGGAATCCACCCTTAATCAGATCAATGGTCTTGGCTCCACGAACAAGGTCAAACCCAAACCCAGTAATACCCTTCAAAGATGTGAGAACACTATAGGCCTCTGCTGGAACATCAGCAAAATATGTCTCGATCAGAACATTCAAACCAAATAGGGATGTTTCGAGTTCCGAGTAGGCAAGAGTAAAGGCTTTCAGTTCATGTGCTTCAAGATCCATCACAAGCTTGGGCTCATCAAACTGAATCCAGGTAGCACCAGCAGACTTTAGGTCGGATACAACTTGCCTGAAGAAAGCATTTACAATGAATATTTTTTAAAACATACAAAATACAGCAATGTAGACCAATAAAAGACAAGTTTCAGTATGCATCCACCTAAGACGGCATGAGAAAGTCCAATGGCTTACTTGTAAACTGGAATGATTTTATCTAGCAGAGAAAGAAGAGAAAAGTTCTTATCAACACCCTTTGCAGGTTTTGAAAGCAGCAAGTAAGAAACAGGTCCTACGAGAACCGGCACTGTGTCGACTCCAAGCTGCAACATAGACAAATTGAATGACAAATCTGTCAGCTTACAAGTTGTTAACACAAGATGCCAGTAACAGCTTCACTGACACACTAACTAGTTATGACAGAGCATTGGATAATTCAACCTTGATTTCAGCCAATAATCAGCCTAGTTTACTCAAATCCACTTCTTATCTTTTCCAAGTTACTTAAGAGAGATGGCAATTGGAAGAAAATTCTCAAACTTTTTCGCTTCCTCAAATATTTGTCCATAAATAGCAACATTCAATTTTCTATTCTACTATTCTCATTATGGTAATAATTGAATCTCATCACGCCATGCTATACAAGACTTAGAAACCAGAAAGACTGCTCATGTGACCATGTAGAGCAATAATGCATTCTGAATAAATAAACCCAGTCAACTTACAGCTTTAGCCTCTTTGTATTCATCAACTGCTTTGTGCGATGCATATGAAAATTTAACATCCGGTCCCAACTCGGGCACAATGTAGTGGCTGCAGGAAAATGATTCTTGCAAATTACAACAATGGCAGAAAAATGAGAAAAATAGTAACATCTGATAATCCAGCAAAGAAACAAACACTTACTAGTTGGTATCAAACCACTTGGTCATTTCCATAGCAGGAACAGAAGCGTTACCCCTGGCCATGGAGAAGTATACATCAAACCCGATCTCACCACCTTTCCATCCATATCTAGGAGGAACTGCCCCAATCATTGCTGTGGTGTCCAAAACCTGATCATAGTATGAAAAGGTGTTGCTGGGAATATACTTGATGCCAGCTTCAGCCATCTGCTTCCAGATGGATGACCTGAGATCTTTTGAAACCTTCTGCAGGTCTTCTGCACTGCTCTTGCCATCCCAGAAAGATTCCAAAGCAAACTTGAGCTCTCTTTTGGGCCCCATGCGAGGATAACCGACAATGTGGGACGCCATTGTTCTGTTACACCACATGCCAGGAAAAAAAATCAAGTTACAAAGAAATCTTCGAACAAACATGTGATATGGATACACGATAGCACAAAATTTTCAGAACAGAATGAGGCAGAATCATAGCCAACCAATCAAACCGAGTTTAGTTGATATTAGTGAGTTGGTAGATATGTATGCATGATGACTCAAAATTTGACATGCCATATACGACAGAATCATAGTCAAGCAATGAAAGTCCCAAGGTTATAGTTTGAATCATGTAAGCATGCCAAAAATTGTGCAGCAACCAATACAGATAAAAGATCACACCAACATCAGCTATTTCCCATCCACAGGAGAGCTAGTTCCAAAAGGACCAAACTTCTCAGATATGGACTAAGAATTCCTCTTACAAGCAAGAAGAAACAAAATTATGCATGTCAACACAATTGAAAAGCGATGCCAAATGAACACAAGACGAAGAATGCTGATCAACAAAGGATCCAGCCTGATTTTTATCTTACAATGGTGTTTAAAAATTACGGAGCCATTACATACGGTCATATGCACATCAGATAACTTGAAAAGAGACCGGATATACACAGCTCAATCTGACAGGCTGGCATTGGTGATCTCACTAGTTTCCGAGCATCCTCGCCACCAAGATCCGAGGACACATGAAACCCAGAAACATCAGACAAATGCGCAACACACAGCATCATATCATAATTCATAAGCATTACAAAATCGTTTATAGCAGCTGAATCCAGTGGACCTCCATTTTACGTTCGTTGAGGAATATTAACAAACACTACGTATGCATGGAACCCAGTTCAAAACAGAGGCCGGCCAGACGGGATCAATTCCCACCTGATCAAAACTCGGAAAGAACAATGATCGCACGGAACGAACAGTGAATACAAAGACCACACATGCAAGCAAGGAATCAAAGCAGAGTGAAAAAAATCCGTTACCTGAGGGAAGTGAGGCGAAGGCGAGTGAACGGTGGTGGGGAAGAAGGGGAGATCGGAAAACGAAGGGAAAGCGGAGATGGGGTGGCTGCTGGGGAACGGAGGGAGAAGGCGAAACTCAGAGAGCCAATGGATTTGCGTCCCAGAGATGTGAATGGCGAGAATATGGGGCTGGAGACTTGGCTCATTTATACTGTTCTTCCGCTCCCTTCCTCCTCGCTTTGCTTTCTCTCTCCTGTCTTCGTTTTTCGTATCCTTTTAGCGGAAAAAAGAAAACTTGAGGAAAAGTAGAAAAGAAAGAGAGAAAAAAATGAAATAATGGGTTTATTGTATGAAAGGCCATTCAACTTTGGTCATATTAACAAATCAGTCAGTGGAACTAACTAACTAATAATAAGGTTCGGAGTAACTAACTAATAATGGATCGAGTTAATTTTTTTTTTGCCAATGATATTAGTGCGCCAACATAGTCAAATAAATGATAAAATCGGGCTCATAAACCGTAATCCGCTGACGAGGTTGGGTTGGATTATTTTGTTGATGGATTTTTTTATGGATCATGAGCGGACACATCATGAAAATTTTGATGCATTTAGGAAAATTGACTATTTTGTCACGAATTGAAAAAAAGTAAGTGTCCACTTCGTTACATTTTAATATGAGTGATGATTTTGGTGTATTAAACACAATCTCATGACCATTTAGGATGTTAATCCAAAATATAGGAAGTCCAAAAGAAATATGGGAAAATAGAGAAGAAATTATTTGAGGAAATAAGTTAAAGGCTCCTAACAAGACAATCTATTCACCAACCCCAATTTTCAGTAGGCTTTGTTGAACATCAGACACCAATATTTTTTTATGCAAAAGATATTTTAGTTGCCTTAATGAACGTGGCGATTTGATAAAAAAGAAAACCCATGGAATGAATATGGGCCATGAATAAGCTATTGTGTCAATTTGGTATGGTATTTTGGTATGTAATGTAATCATATGGTCACATCAAATCAAAGGGGTTGGTGGGCAAAATGAACATGGTGGTAGGCCACTCCTTTGGAATGAATGTTACTCCAACTAGGTTATTTAACTTATAGTTAAAATTCAGTCCAAACGAGAAAGGAGGCAATTTACTGATAAATCAATCACAAATTTTTAAAATAAAAATTCAGATCATTTCAATTCTATATGGTATCAAACTAGTTATAAAGCTAAGGGTTTAGGAAGCTAGCTCTGCATAACAACTTTGAATGCGGCTCCAATTGATTCAGTAAATCAACCACTCACATCCGCACTACATCTAAGTTCTTAGGAAGGTAGCTTTGTAGGAGAACTTTGAATGCGGCTCCAACTGATTCAACAAATCAACCACTCACATCTATACACCATCTAGGTTTCGAACACTCAGCAAGATTTTTTTTTTTTTTTGTTTCGTAAATACGTTCATCTTACCTGTATCTTTCACGAGATAACTAGGTAGTAGGTAACATTGTTATCTAAATGAGACACAAGTTTTTTTTTTAGGTCAAGTTCAAGAGTCATAAACACAAAGTTATGTTTACATGTTATAGATATTTCAAACTCTAATTTAGCATTTGATGAATGGTTCTTCTAATACCTCTAATCCATTTGTTTGTGGAGGTGTTGGGGATTGGTGTGCATAGGGTGAGTAGGTGAAGTAGGACAAAAGAATGTTCACCAAATGTCATGTGAGAGCCTCTCAACAAAAGTCAAGTTGTTGAGGGCTAATGTCTCTATCCATTCATGCTTAAAAAGCAAAACCATCATTCAAATACAAATAAATCAACATTGTGCCTAATCATTAGGTCCAAGTAAGTGGATTTCAGAATGTGTCAACTTCATGGAGTCCTGGTATTTTATTTTTTTTACTTTTCACCCTAGGCAGTGCTGGTCATGGTGACCATTTCTACATTAAATTCATAGCACAAAAACAAACCACAAACACCCACTTGGTTGTGGGGGGACTATTCAATGCGAGCAAGAGCAACTAGCAGGAGGCTCCGGAGCAGAACCAGCAGCAGCAGGAGCAGCTGTATTGGCCGCACTGAAGCTTAGTTCCCACGTGTCGGATGGTTGTTGCACGTGGGGGAGGTGACGTGGATGTTTCTCCCTCTTGTCGCCTTTGATCTGTTTAAAAGCGTGCTTCAGCACTGGCAGCAGTGCTTCCATGCATTCTGCAACTGCATTTGGGTTGCCTGGCATGTTGATTATCTGCATACCCAACAACAACATCCAATGGAACGGAATGAGAAAAGGGAAAGGCATGATCTGTTAGGAGGGGAAATCCATCATCACTGCCCCATCAAGGCGACATAATATGTTGGCATGATTGCCGATGTAACAACGAGATCAAGCAATACATATTTTTATCCAGGATGACTTAGGATTAGTCATGAGATAGGTAGTAGCTTAAGTTGTCACAGAGCGTTAAAGCGCAGTGCGTCAGAAGGATTTGCATAATGAATTGAGAACGAGTGTCTTACCAGTGTTGTACCCCTTATACCTGCTGCAGCGCGTGATAACATCGCAAATGGTGTGACCTGCAACAGAAAAAATGGAAGCGGGTCAAAACTTCTGATCTTAAAAAGGTAAAGAATGGAAAAGTAGATTCTAAACACAGGCAGAAGGAGAAGTATGTAGGTCTTACAGTTTCAGAGAATTCAGTGAAGAGAATAAAAAGGAACATGTAGTTTACGGTGCTATAAGCAACGAGCTTGATGACTAAGTTGTCAGTTATCACTTTGCCGAAGAGATGAGTTCGACTGCCCTATAGAAAGATACAGGCAGCACATAATTTCCTACCTTTAAACTCTCTCGCGTCATTACATGCAGAAGGCCAGGAGTTTCCTTCTCAATCAACTCTTTAGTTGCCTCAGGAGTCACATCTCTCGGGGTGAAACCAGTACCACCTTCATTTACATTTCAGGTACATACATTTGGCAAAAGATAACATCAGATGAAGTGAACAAAGAAAGGCCTATGCCAGGAAATCTGAAATAAGGAATAGAACTGTAAACATGCAACACTCGTACCCAGTGTAAGAATGAGGTCCACTTGATCAATGTCACTCCACTTCAGTAGAGCATCCTTAATTTTCCCCACGTCATCTGGGACCACAGCGGTTGATACCACTGTAGCTCCCCCTAGCTTCTCTGAAGAGGAATTTACAACAGAAATTGCTCTAGGACCACTGCAGATCTCAAAACAATTTTCACAAAACGAGAAACTAGGATTACACATAAAGTTGATCGACTATTGATAACTCTCTACAATATGCTCTTCCCACATCACAGGACCAAGGTATGTGCACGTCATATAATCATGATCGATGAGAAGTAGGCTACCGCTTACAGATCTTATACAAGCTTCAAATACCAATCACCTAACGGGGTCATTTCAACTTTAAGTCCAGAACAGTTTGCTACAGCCAGCTAAACAGTACCATAAACTTTTTTGTCAGCAGAAAAAAATAGTTTAAGTGAATTAAAAACACTGTGGCAAAGAAGCAAGTACAACCCATGTTTCACTTCTTCATGGGGAAATACCAACTTTGCTCATTTGGTTTAGCATCAACTAAGTGATCTCTCTGAAACAACGATTCATTGAGATGTATCCAGATGCAATAAGGAAAAGTCTACATACATGCAGACTGGCCTAGATGACCATCAAGCGAGGACATTTCTCATTCGCTTAATGCCTTGGGTATATAAAGGAATTTCAAAGTTTTTCATTACTTATCCACAAGACCGTAAACAACAGCAGCAAGCCGAGGCTACTGCTGAAAGCTTATGCTATGGGTCCAAAACCTTGGATATTTTTTCAGTGAATTTTAAAACATTGTGGCAAAGAAGTAAGTACAACCCATGTTTCACTTCTTCATGGGGGAAAACCAACTTTGCCCATTTTGGTATAGCATCAACTAAGTGACCTCTTTGAAAAAACGATTCATAGAGATGTATCCAGATGCAATAAGGAAAAATTAACATACATGCAAACTGGCCTAGATGATCATCGAGCGAGGACATTTCTCCTTCTCTTCATGCCCTTGGTTATATATGAATTTCAAAGTTTTTCATTACTTGTCCACAAGACCATAAGCAACAGCAACAAGCCGAGGGTACCGAGTGTTCTAGCTGAAAGCCTATGATATGAGAAGAAATAATTGTGTCCAAAGGCATGGATATAGTCTCATGTAAACTCATCATAATGCTCAGTGCACTAGCAGCATAAGGAAACTACAGATCTCTATTTGGCCTTGACAAAGGAAAACAATAAAATTTAAAGGAGTTCTGCATCAAGTTCCAAGTAGACTATACAAACTTATACCAGACAGTTCTCATCAATTATCCTCCTTTTGTCTCCTTCCTATTCTTCGATCAGGGAGAGTACTAAAGTATGGCCAATATAATAACAATTTAAAGATTGTACCTAGTTTCCAAACACTACTGTGGCGATATAAGGGGTTGCTTTTCTTGGTGGCAATGAGGGCGGGGGAAAAGCTGAAACTATTTATTCATCTAGAATTCTGCATCAAATCTCTGTGAGGCTAAACCTCATTTTGGAAATTATTCACCTAAGTTAACCATTTGATACCAGGATTATATACTCGTATCGTGTTTAATATATCATCTAGACACTGACTGACATTAATGGTAATGGTAATGACATTGTGCAACAAAAGGTAGGCTGTCACAACTTTGCTACTTGACTTCAGCAATCTTGCCAATAAGAAATTAATTAAGTTGTACTAGATGTTGCAAAGCATTACCACATTCATATCCACTTTGATAGAGTGGAACACCAACTCTGCTCTGTACTTTGGCATCCACAAATTGACCCCCTCTAATTCTCTATATGAAGGGATGCCTAGGATGCATTATTGATTGGTAAAAAAAATTGTCCAAATCCATCATTGCAGGCGGGAAACAAAACAATAAACTACTTACATAACATCACAAGGGATGGAGCACCATGAGAAATGGGGGTTGATACCTAAGAAGTCTGTGAATCCTAAGGAAGTATATTAAGATGACATGTCCATGCCATATTTCAACCATTAAAGCTAGGCATAATACATGAAATTATTTACTCGAGATAGAGAAGACTGTGAATCAGGATATCTAATGACTTCGAGAGATATAATAAAAGTAGTAATCCTCGTACCTTCTGTCAGGCCCAGCACCTGATGCAACAGTATCACTCACTGTTAGAATTGCAACCTTGACCTCAGAAGCGGCAGATGTTTCTATATGTTTACTTTGAAGGGAAGGAGTTAATTCTACTGAGATGCAACTGTCAGGAGTAGCATTACAGCTTAAATCACTGATTACAATGGCTGAGACAGAAGTTCCAGTAGGAAATAATGTTCCAGTCGCTGGCAACTCCAACAGCGCATTAGCTGATTTCATGCTCAAGAGACGGCTGCTCATCTGGGAACCAGTGCTTTCAGCAACAAATCTGGCATATCAACAAAATTTACAGTGTTTCATTGATTTTTATATAAAGTAATCCGCTTATAAAGATTGCAATAAATACATGTTCCAAAATAATGCCACCAGATAACTGACCCTGGATTCCCTGATCCATCATTGGTCTTCCACTTGATGGTGGCACGATGAAATTCTGGCCGTACTGGATCGGTCTTCATAGGTTGATTAAGACGAGCATGTACTCTGTTTAAAGAGCATTAAGGGTGTAGCTAATCAACTATCCGTGAATTTCAATGCTATTAATATAACAATTGCTTGAAATTTGAGTATGTACAAGAGAGAGAAGATCGTTTTAAAAGTCTCAGCAACCTCAGAAGGTGAGGATTTTCCCATCCAGAAAGACGGCGAATCGCTGGGACCACAAAGAGATGAAAGCAAACAAGGCAGCTCACAGGATTTCCAGGTAATCCAAATGCAAGAAGTTTTTTGGGGGCAGTAGTGACTGTTGGAGAGACTTCAGCAAAAGTCAAAGGCTTTCCGGGTTTCATGCAAACCTTAGGATCACATATACCATAGTCAGAGCATACAGAAAATTTTGCTTAAGCTAAGAATGGGTGAGTTTCCCACTGATATCAAAAGTGGAAATACAAGAAACTGAACCTGAGCATTGGAAGTCACAAAAAGGGAGACTGAGTCGCTATGCTTACCTTGTCAAAATGAACAACCCCTCTTTTTACAAGCAATGGCTTTACAAAATCTCTGTCCCCCATGGAAACACCTCCTGAAGTTAAGAGAATATCCACCCCGGAAGAAAATGCTTTATCCAGGACACTTTCAAGTTCTTCTTTGTCATCCCCAGCAATTCCAAGGTCAACAACCTTGCATTGTTGCTGAACTGCAGCTGCCAGCAGGGTAGAACGGTTGGAGTCCCTGATCTAAAGAAAACAAAATCCACTCCACCTTAACTCAACAGCTAGAATAAAATGTGAAAATCATTGCATAGGCTTGATCAGTAACATCAAACTTATGAACTGATGAAAATGTTCGGCCAGATGAAACACCATTATCAGATTTCACACAGGTCCTAACATGGGACTGGAAATGGCAAGAACTTCGATTAAAGGACAAACAAGTTGACAGAACACAGTTTGATCAGTAAGCTGGTTAATCATAAGAAGAGCACAGCTTGACAAAACAAAACCTTTTGAGTGGCGACAAGGTGACATCTTAGTTCATCCTAGTTTGCCATTCACTGCACTTCCCACATCCCTCAAAAAGTAAAAGCAAATGAAGTTTTCCAAGACTGTCTCGTTTGCCCATTACTTAATTAGTAGTTTACTTAACTCAAAGACATCTACACTTTCCTTTTATTTTCTACTAGAATAATCACTTATGCAATTATCCAATTGAAGCAGCATGGGAAACACAGTACCTGGCCTCTGCTCAAACACCCGGTTGTTGGCTCCACAAGTTCATCTCCAGTAGAAACCACAGCAATTGTAGGAGCAGGAAATATCTGAAAGTCACAATCCTTCTTTAGATGTTACCAATAATTAGCAGAACAGAAATGAAAAGCAAAACACTACCTTGACCGTTGTCACACCAACAGTAGCAAGTAAGCCAATTTCTGAAGCCCCGAGTGTTTCTCCAGATTTTAAAACCGGGGCATCGTTCTCTATATCACAGCCCTGGTAAACAGAAAATTAAATAAGGTTCAAATTCAGAATCAGGAAAATGAAAGATGTTAGGTAACCACTAACCACCAACAAACTTAAATTTCATTCTAGAATAAGGTAGAACCAAACACAAAAAACAACTTTGATCAGGGCCTAAATTTATCATTTTGAGAATCCCCTGAAATCTACAGTGAATAAACTTCCATGCATTCTTGGCTAGATCCTTCTGTTGTCAAATTAATTTTAACAGCGTAGCAGACGAGGTTCAAAGACTATATGCTATGCTAGCTTCAAATTTCTCAATGAAGATAGTGTTTGTTTCCTAACATCATTAAATACCAACAGTTGTCCCAAAATGGAAAAATGACAAAGCAAGCAGCATACCACTGGACGAATGTCAACGCCCTTCTTAGTCTGCACCAAGATTTTTACACGCTTTGATCCGCCCAAATCACCCTCAACTTTTTCAGTATCCTCAACCTGAACGACTGCATCAGCACCATCGGGGATTGGTCCTGAACAGGGAAGACAGACAATACCCGAGACTTCATCCTCATATAATGCCGCTTTTCAGAATCAGCTTAGCATCTTAGGGTACTTCACCATTGGAACTTGAAGATTACACAGTGGTCACCCGAAGGAAACAACAAGGGGGGAATAACATTTGAAAACAATGAGCTAACACCTTCATTTCTACCAATGCGCTTAGATAAACAATGCACTCAAAGTAGTGGAGTCAATGCGGCTAGAGCCAATTCACTATAAGCCTACAAACTAAGAGCAATACACCACCACACTAACCTCCAGTGGTAACATAAGCAACAGTCCCAGGAGTAAGCGTCACTCCGACCGCATCATTTCCAGCTCTCGACTCAGCAATCACCGGATATTCACCCGGACCATCGGAAGCAATCACGGCATATCCATCCTGCAATGACCAAAACCCTCGCCGATCAACACCGCCGTTCATACCAACAGTAACGAACACAGCTATTCATTCAACTGATCCAAAAGAACAGCGAAGTTCCATAGGCAGGTAGTGGCATTACCTTTATGGAAGCAGGATAAGGAGGCAAAGGGTCTCGCGCGCGAATATCCTCGGCTAGAACTTTGCCTAGTGCCTCGTGAATAGGCACAACCGTGGGGGAAAGGCGCTGAGCTGCTCCCAGAACAATCTGGAGAGCCTCCTCTGCCGATATCATCGCCGGCGCCGCCATTGCCGCAGGCCGCTGACTTTGTAGTGTTCTCCGGTCGTGGAAGAGGCCGGGAGAAGGTCGTAGTAGTAGTTGGCTTTGACAGAGAAGAAGTCTCCTGCCAAGGAATGGAATAGGAACCGACGGCGAAATCAAAATTACTAATCAGTCCCTCATTTTGACAGCTTTCCTCCTTTAGTCCCCCATAGACTGAGTCAGTGACGGACTCGGTTAAAACGGAATAACCCGCGAACTCGGTTGGAGGTTAAAAGGAAAAGAGGGAAAATGAACCATTTCACCCGAAAGAGAAGAAAGGCAGCAGCACAGATATCGTTATCGTCCAATTTTAAACCAAAAGAGGGGAAAATCAAAGAGGAGAAAAACCCTAACAAATCCCGCATTTCAAAATCCACCACCACCGGCGAATTCCCTCTTCTCCCCCTCAGAGATTTCCCCCCCTGAAATCCATCCAACCGATTCAAACGGCAACAGTTCAATTCGTCGCTCGGATTCGATGGCGAAGCCCGACACGAGCCCCGTGCTGTCGCCGACGTCGTCGCGGTCGGTGACGCAGACGGTGAACGGCTCACACCGGTTCGTGATCCAAGGCTACTCGCTGGCGAAAGGGATGGGCGTCGGGAAGCACATTGCCAGCGACAATTTCACAGTCGGAGGGTACCAGTGGGCCATCTATTTCTACCCCGACGGCAAGAATCCGGAGGACAATTCCGCTTACGTCTCGGTGTTCATCGCCCTGGCCAGTGAGGGAACCGACGTGAGGGCTCTGTTCGAGTTGACGCTGGTTGACCAGAGCGAGAAAGGGAAGCACAAGGTTCACAGCCATTTCGATCGGTCCCTCGAGAGCGGCCCGTACACGCTCAAGTATCGCGGCAGCATGTGGCAAGTTTCCTTTTTTTTTTTCCTTGACTTTGTTTTACAGTTTTAGAAACTTCGAAAAATGGGAGCTTGATATTTTTCGGCGCAGTTTTTGCATGTTTTGGAATGGCCGTTGAGCAAGCTGTGGTCTTTCTATATAGCTCTAGGTAGCATGTTTGTTAGTGAGCCGACTGAGCAATGGTTTTGGCAGATTTAACTGTTTCTTGTTAAGGCTTTCGCTTGTTCTGGATGATGAGATCTATGGCCTCTTGAAATCCAGATTGGCTGAACTGCCTTCTATGCCTGCTAAACTGGGCATATGATTCATTTTTCTTCTAATCACATGTTTTGTGACCTTCTCGACTAAGCCTCTTGTTGGACAAGAATGGGATCAGGTCTCTCTTTGATTACATGCAGAGTCTGGATGGGACTAGTTTCCCAGAATGGTGATGTAGAGGTCAGCTGGGTAGTACAGTTTGTTATTCTCCCGGGAATCCATGTAACAAGGATTGATGTGTTCTAGCAAAGTGGCCTGGTGCACATGATAAAAGGGATTTCCTTTAGGAGTTAGAATAGAACTGGTATAAGATATGAAATGAACAATTAGTTCAATCCTCATTAATTTTCCTTAGATTGCTGTCATGTTTCAAAGTAAAATAAATTCTTCAAATGTAGAGGTCTGTACCGTGTTGGACAAATTTCCCCGCCGAGGATGCAGTTTTTTTTTTGGGGGGGGGGGGGGGGGGGGGGGTCAGTTTATGTTTGTATGCAATTTGGATCTCATTGTTCGCACATGAATTAAACTATTAGGTCTATGTAGCCCCTGCCTTCTAGTAATTGACAGTGCTTCCAAGGTTTGGAAGAGATTGTAAAGAAATAGAGATCACTGTTATACATGGTTAGCCTTAGAGGAAGTGTGGAATTAGTTCATGTAGTTATTTCACATAGCTCTGAGTAATGTTACTAAGGTGGTCACGCCATCTGGCCATACATTGTAGGGTGTTACACTTACTGCATGCTCTGCTTATTGGTCAATGTAGAATCAAGCTAGGTCTTTCACTTTTCTTTGGTGAAGAAAATATGGTCCCTCGCGAACAAGGGCTTGGTCTAGTGGTAATACCACTAGCCTTGAACCTGGAGTCCAGATTCGAATCCCTTAACTTGTACCTAATGACAAAAAAGTCAACCTATATCACCCTTAACAAAAAAAAAAAGGTCCCTCATGCCAATCACTCGTACCCAGAAGGGAAAACTGATCAGTACCCAACATATAAGTTCCTGTTTTCTACAACAATGTGATCCATTTCATTGAGGTTGAAGATGTGTAAAAGTTGCGATGTGCTCATCCAAAATATGTTGCACAGTTTTTCTCTTGAAAATTCTAGTACGTTCTTTCCCTGTGTTCCTTTCTTAACTGGTCCATTTCATTCTATGCTGACCCTCTTGGGCTTTTTGTTATTGGCAAGAGTGTCAAGTGTCATTTCCTGGTGTTACAGACATAACCACTTTTCGATTATGTTGCTCGATGGTAATCCTCTGTCTTTCTGTCTATAGGGGATACAAGAGATTTTTCAGACGCGCTATGCTTGAGACATCTGACTATTTGAAGAATGATTGCTTAAAAATCAATTGTACTGTCGGAGTGGTGGTATCTGCTGTAGATTGCTCCCGATTACACTCTATCCAGGTTCCAGAGTCTGATATAGGAGCACATTTTGGCACGCTTCTTGAGACAATGGAAGGTTCAGATGTTACTTTTAATGTGGCAGGGGAAAAGTTCGAAGCTCACAAGTTAGTATTGGCCGCTAGATCTCCTCTCTTCCGTTCCAAATTCTTTGACTGTGCGGAAGATAGTGAAGAGATAGTAATTACTGATCTAGAGCCTGATGTGTTCAAGGTGAACCCTTATGTTATACTGTTATTGTTTTTGCACAAAAAGCTCAATGCCTGTGCTCTGTTGTATAACCTTATTTTATTTATCTGGATACAGGCCATCCTGCACTTCATTTACCGTGACACACTTACTGAAGATGTGGGTAATACTGCATCAAGCTCGTCTAGTCTATCTTCTATATCAGAATCTTTGACAGCAAAGTTATTAGCAGCAGCAGATAGGTATGGTCTGGATCGACTAAGATTGATGTGCGAGTCTCATCTCTGCAAGGATATATCAGTCGCCTCGGTTGCTAGGATTCTAGCCTTGGCAGACAGCCACCATGCTACAGAGTTAAAGGCTGTTTGCTTAAAATTTGCTGCTGAAAACCTTGCAGGTACTTGCTTTCTTCTCAGCTAAAGTACATACTTACTAGTTGGATGGAGTTCTTAGCTTTGCAGTTTCTCTTTCACTTTTCTCGAGGGCCTCCTTTCGAAAGAAATCATGTTTATTGGTGTGTAGAATGTAACGAAAGTAGTCTCATCTGTGGCTTCAGTCTGAAATCATTGAGTGCACACACAAAACCGCTGTGATATTAACCTCTGAAATACGCTGAACTGTGCTCGAATCAACATTGACAGCTATATACACTAAACTACCGAGAGATTTGTGCACACTGAAATTTCTAGTACTATTTACATGATGCATTGCACTAACCGTAGGCCTACATGGTGCATGTTACTTGAGGTATTTTTGTCATGTAGACTGAAGTTATAGAGACAGCACGCGAGAGCTCATCACTTCATCTCATTGACTTGGCGATTTCTATTATGCCATCTCATTCTCTTGTGTGCGTCTCTTCCATTCTCCAGCTGTGATGCGTTCTGATGGGTTTGAATACCTCAAAGAGAACTGCCCGACGTTGCAGTCAGAGCTTCTGAAGACAGTGGCGGGATGCGAGGAGGATTGCAGCAGCGGAGGTGGAAAGTCACGTAGTGTCTGGGGCCAACTTTCAGACGGTGGCGAGACCACCACCAACGAAAGGAGGGTTAGACAAAGAACCTAGCTAGTCCGCTGCTAATGTGTTGCTTTTCTTTCTTTCGTTCTTTCTTCTTTCTTCATTTCATTTCTTCTTTTTCTGTGCTGTAAATGAGCATTGTTATAGAAATGGCGGAAGCACCAAGGGGGGAGAGAGAGAGATGTTGTAATGTGGGGAGGACAGGGGTGGTAAGGTCGATCATGGTTTGTTTCTCTAGTTAGCAAAAGATAATCTCTGCTGAAAGGACAGATCCTGCATGCGTATGAGAGCTCAATTGTGGATAAATGCTGGAAACTTGAGTAGCCTCTGGCTTGGTTGTATCAGCAGGTGATGGTGTTGGGGTTGTACCTAATTGTTTCGCAAGTAGATCAGGAAAACATAACTTGGGCTTCTGCCTGCAACTCTTACCTCTGTTTGTCTGCTTTGTAGTAGCACTGCTAAATGCAATTTGTGTTTGTACTTTGTATTGGAGGAATGAAAAGAAATGGCTTCCATATCTTTGTACTTTGTAGTCAGCCCTCTGTTTTACGTCACTTCTCCTTTTACTTCTTCGTTTTTCTATACGAATTTTCGTCAACCATACTATATGGTATCAGAATCTTTGATCGAAATTGGGCTCACCGTAAATATACAATCCAAAAGTCAAGATTTTGAGGATGTTCTCACTTTGGTTCGAGATGAAAAATAATTAATTGATAGGTGAAAACTAAAAATTGTGATCGAAGGCTTGTGTTTGAATTTTGATAATCTCATTTGTTAAACACATGACATTCAGATTTGTGTCAACTTCAAACTCATATAAGTTTATTTTCTCTTTTTTGACGGGGTGTGTTAGCAAATGCTATAGGATCTATTATTGAAACTCTCTGAAAAAACTCGAATTACCGTTACTAAATGATTCTTGATAAAGAGCAGCATTCAAAAGCGAATGAATAACTAAATCATGAGTAATTATTTGGTACAAAGAAATTATATTTTTGATAGTTTCGACTACTAATGTAATTTAATTTATCAAAAAATTTCAAACAAAAGACTAAATAATGGATAAGGAAAAAAAAATATGTGTATTTTGTTTTTCTTCTGAATAGACCTACCTTAGACGAAAATCTGGCTACCTGTTTGGTAACATATATCAAAGTACATGAAACTATCTAACGACTTTTCTGGAAAAAATAAACGTATCCTGCTTCCATAGCATAGTGGTAGTGCGTTCGCTTCGTAAGCGAAAGGTCGCGAGTTCGATCCTCGCTGGGAGCTTTTCTTGTATATTTTTTTGCAAATCTTCACAACATTTTTATTAATCCAATGGAATTTTTTGTTTATCAATTCAATCTCCTATCCTTAATTAATTTCTAACCCATAAACCAGTTATGGTATAGACTGTACTTAATCATTAATTGCTGAAGTGCTTGCTTCCCCATATGTCTACGGTCTGAATTAAGGGAACAAAATATTGCACCTCATCAGTAGTGTCCTAAATTAAACTTCCCGGCCTTCTTCCATAATAGTCACTTAATTAATCCCACGACTATTAATGAATCGCCTCCTTCCTTTTCTGTATTACAGTTCCGTCACTATATATATATACTTTTAGTCACGTATCCAGTAGAAGCAATCAGCACTGCACTAAATCAAAGCGACCAATTTATTGTTGAACAAACTGCGACGGCTTCGTTTTCCTAGCCATCCCCGTCGCCAAAGATGACGTTGTACTGCAACCACTGCTGCAAGTACCAGTCCGTCGTGAAGCAGGACAAGAAGGCGTAAGTATAAATATATATATTCCTGCTGAACAGTCTTTTAGTCACCACTTTCTTCATCCGTTTTCTATATATGTTTTAGTGACGACTTTGGAATATATTTTTTTCATGCAGGCTCTGCGCAGTGTGCAACAAGGTGCTGGGTACATTCGGCGACGTCAAGCTCGTCGACGATGAGCATCAGTCTTCTTCCTCGCCGTCGGTGTCCGTGGCGGGCGACGAGATAACCGGACCGTCGTCAGTTTGATTAATCAAGAGGAGGGTCGAGTTTTCACGTAGTGCGGTTTTTTTTTTTTTTAGTTTTTTTTATCTGTCTTTTCAATTTTTTGGTAGTGCAAGCTTTGCTAGTATTAGTTAGGGCTGATAGCGGTGCGGTTTCGGTTTTAACCGAACCGCAACCGCGGTTAACCGCGACCGATAAGCATTGGAAAACCACAACCGCCACCGACACCGATTGCCTTGTCGGTTAGCCGAAAACCGCCATCGTCGGTTTCGGGTCGGTGTCGCGGTTAGCTGAAACCGACGGGATCGCGGGGCAAGGGAGGACGAAGGCAGGTGGTGCGACGATGGCGACGGCCGACGAAGGCGTGACAGTCGATGATTACTGAGATTGGGAGCAGGAGGACGAAGGCGCCGGTGGGGACGCTAGGCAGGGTGATGATGACGGCTGGCGGCGGGGACGCCGGAGAGGGTAAGGGTTTTGAACTCGGGAGGGAATCGGCGAGTGGGTCGTTTTGGGGAAAACCTGGCATGTTTGGGGGAAGAGATGAAATCGTGCATGGTATTGTCTTTGGCAACTGCGAAGCGGAGATTTGGAATCGGTAGCTGGGCAATGATTTCAACTTGTGCACGGCGGAGGTGGCGGACGACGAGGAACAATCGATTAACAAAGCTTCATTCTGCCTTGATTTCAATTGATATAGGAGAGAGAGAGGGATGGCGTGAGATTCAGAAAGGGTAGCTTGGATTGGATGTGTTGATTGCTCAATTTTAGGCATAGATTGTGAATTGGGAATGACAGAAGAGAAGTTGAGAGTTGAGAGAGGAGGCGGCAGAGGAAGAATCCACGATTGGGGATGGGGAAGGTAAGAGGCAACTCGCTGTTGGTGGGTAATCTCGGTTGTAACGGTGCACCGATATATTTATCGGTTAGCAACCGACACCGATCGGTTAGCCAATATAGACAAAACCTCCCACCGACACCGCAACCGACATAGATATTATCGGTTACGGTTAACCGCTTAACCGACTTTATCGGTTCGGTTTTTAGGTTAACCGACTAACCGCCAACCGATTAACAGGCCTAGTATTAGTAGTTTAGTGGATTATTTTAATTTGAATTCAAATAGTCGGATTTCAATGCTTGACACTCCTCTACCCAGTCGGCCCTGTTTTCCCTAGCAACTCGAACTTGGGCTAGTTGGCCCATAGCTCAACCTGAAGGCCCAACGCAAAAAGGCCCATGTCTTTCCGCGTTTCTCCAGCCCATCTTTTTTTTTTGTCTTCCCGAAGGGAACAGGTCTGTATCTTTTTCCATACGCAACAAGGAATTGATTTTCATTGATTCAGTAAAATGAAATTAGAGAAGCTTGGCGCCCAAGAAACACACCGTATCGCACTCCCAGCCACCGCCACAAAGTCGTCTCTATATATACGTGTACACAGTCCATCCCACAAAATGATAACGAAACCAAATTGTATAAAAGGGATTTTTTTTCCCCGATCTCTCTTCAGCCCAATACAATTGATTAATCAAGTCGGTCGTTCTCGCCGGAAAAAAGACTAAGAAAAAGGAGTTGCAGAACCGGCCGACGAGGAGATATCGATGGAGGAGTGCTACTGGTGCGCCCATTGTTTCAGATTCTGCGGCGTGACCAAGGAGGCCGAGATATTCATGTAAGAAACTGAAAATGAAATTAGTAGGATATTTTTTTGTCGTTGATTTCAATTTTTTATTTTGTATTTTTTGGGTTTAATTGAGTGATTGTTAAACGACGATGAGCAGATGTTGTTCGGATTGCGGGAAGGTGCTGAACGATAGAATCAGTCTGCAGCTGGTGCTGGCGGAGAGGAAAAAGAAGAACAAGAAAGCAGGAAAGGTTGGTAGTAAGGACGTTCCTCCGCCGGCGGAGGTCGACGGGGTGATGACCGGTGATGGATGAAAGATCCGCCGGCGGGGAGTTTTTGGGCCCTCTGGCTATAGCCTCTATATATATTGTTTTTTGGATGGGCTTGGGCCTTGGGCTACCGAATTGGGTATTGGATTGTCCTGATCGAAGTAAATGTAGTGTACTAGTGTTCTGCAGAGGGCAGCCTGTATTCATTTTTTAATAATTCGTTGTTGATTGTGATTATTCAACTTTGGAAAACACATGGATTACTTATGGTGAATTTGGGATTTCAGAGTCCGTGTAATTGCTAATACAAGTTTATGAGAATGTGCTCTTCTTTGTACTTTTATTTTACCCAAAAATGTGTTTTTTTAATGCAAGTAGTTAATCACAATTCACAAATAAATAATAAATACAAGTTGGCCAATAACTATTATGAGAATCAATTATATGCTTACATTACAGCCAATCAACAAAGAGACACATTGTATTTACTAACAAATACTAATTCATTTTCCATATTGTAATCAACAAGCACTCAGTCACAAACCATTGATAAGCACGAGTTAGCCAATAACTATTCTGAAAATCAATTGCATGCTTAAATCACAATCGGTTAAATATTATGTTTCTAATAACCGTAACACTTTTTTTTTAAAATCAAATCCAATAAATAATATTGAGTAGTTGACATAGTGATAATTACGGAATGGGCAAAAATATTCTCTGACCAATTTCACATATGATGGTACTAGGATGTGCATACAACAAGAGGAGATCCTATATAGGTAAAAGAACAACTTTTATGATCCTCTTAAAAGTAAGAGCAAACAAAGATGAGGAAGAATGGAAGATGATGAGGTCTAGCATGGCAGGAAGGAAGTGGTCAGTAGACAGGACGATCGCCCACACCACTCTTCTTTCGTTCTCGAAAAGAAAAACCACGAGCAACATGGCAAGAAGAGTTGCAGGCAAATCATCCTGGCTTCTAACAACAGCAATCAGCCACCCTCTCTTCCCCTCATGTCAGCCCTCTCTCTTCTTATATATCCAGCAGAGAACTTCACTAGCTCTCTTGCCATGGTTTTGAGCTCCTAATGTCCAACTTATATAGCAATGGTTTTCTTTGCCATGTGTGATTCCTACTCTATTTGAGATCAGATTCGAGAAGGCTTAATGGGCATCATATTCTTTGAATCTATAATCTAATCTACATCTCTTTATCTGTATGATTATCTTATACCACATCCAAAAGTCAAGTTATAGTCACATACTTGTCACTTGCCTAGCTAGTGGAGCACGTTGGGCAAAGAATATTGGTGACAAAAAAAATTTATAGAAATGGCTTCGCCCGGGTTCGAACCGGAGACCTTCAGTGTGTTAGACTGACGTGATAACCAACTACACCACGAAACCGTTCACATTGCAAAGTTTGAAATGAGAGTAACCATACACATTTGAACAAGTGGCAATGTGACAGGTTCTGGGAATCTCAACTAGTCATACCAATCGGATTAAACAAAGAAAGTCAACCCAAAACAGATGCAATATACCCCATTGCTCTGCCAGAATATATTCTTGGAGGGCAAGCACTCAATTTTTCAATATAATGAAGGAGATATGATTTCATCTCGAACCCTTAACTAAGTTCTCAAAGGTCTCTTAAGAAAATAATGCTCTTATTTCCAGTCCCAGAGACAGGATAGATACAACTACATGATAAACTCGAGAACATATCGCGTCAGCTACAAATTGCTTTCAAACACAATTTTTTTATATATTTATATATGTTGGGTTTGCACTCGATCTTCATAGATCCTCCATTTACTAAGTTCTCAAAGGTCTCTTAAGAAAATAATGCGCTTATTTCCAGTCCCAGAGATAGGATAGATACAACTACATGATAAACTCGAGAACATATCGCGTCAGCTACAAATTGCTTTCAAACATAATTTTTTTTATATATTTATATATGTTGGGTTTGCACTCAATTTTCATAGATCCTCCATTTGCTTGCGGTAGCTTAGTCTGCTAAGTTGCCACGTCGTGTTTCATCTTGTTAACAGACTTAAAATCATTACGAATTTGTTGAAGAAATGCTTATGGAATCCATTAATTAATCAATCGTGATTTGTCAGCTACAAACCGCCTTCCAACACCAAAAAATTCTAGGTTATATATGTTGGGTTTGCATTCTCCCTCCATATGCTTGGGGCGGCTTAGTCTGCTGAGTTGCCCCGTTATGTTTCATTCTTGTTAACAGACTTAAAACCATTACGAATTAGTTGAAGAAATGGCGCTTTTGGAATCCACTGATTAATCGTGATTCCGCCCAAATACGCAGATAATGACTCAGATTTCTGCAGAATTCATATTCTTTTTATTACGAAATCCCCCCCTTTTTTAGAGGATGATAGCAGTAGGGCTGGCTATTTGGTCCGAGCTATTTGGTTTTACCCGAAAATGGACCGTATAACTCGGACCGGGATCGAATAGCAAACAATCCAATCCCATTTTCGGGTTTAGATTTGAAGTAAAAATCGTTTGGGACCGGAGCGAAAACCTTATAAAGACCGGATAAGAGAGTCGAACACCCAAAACTTAACGAACTTCTCACCCTTAGGCCACTCAAATCCCCACAAGTTCAATCTAAAATCAAGACCGAATTGGGACCGGACCGGGTCAAGATCAAACTGTATCCAATCCAATCTTTAATCCTTATATTCCCGAAAAGATCGGACCGGGACCAGATCAATTTGGACCAATTTAACCGGACTGAACCGTATAGCATAGTAGAGGGCCCGGTGCGTGCAATCCAATGCTCATGCATATTACATACATTCGTGGGGGTTAAAAGGAATCACACAACATTTACCAAAAAAAGAAAAGGAATCACACAAAATTTACCAGAAAACGAAAAGGAACGACACATTGGCGCCGAATGTGTAATGATCGATGGGAGAAGCGGTTACAACAATAATCATTGCTCGACTATGTTAAGAAAATATCGACGCCAAATTTGTGTTTATTCTCTCATAGGAGAATCTAATACAGCAAAGATTGTTGACCCAAAAAAAAAATTACAGCAAAGATTATGACGATTTATATATATAGTGACCAGAAGGGCCTTCAATTTCATAAGCCATTAAGAGAAAACAAATATGGCGGCCTCGGGGTTATTAGTAGTACTGTTGTCGTCCATCTTTCTTCTGACGGTCACGGCCGCCGTCGTCGATGGAGACTACCAAGTCGACTGCGACGACAGCAAGAGCAGCGGCTGCGATACTTACTCGGCGCTGGCCCTCATCGGAGATCTGAAGGAGAAAGTGCCCGGCGACCCACGGCAGGCGTACTGCAACGTGGTGACGTCGGAGTGGAGCGGGCGGCAGATCTTCGGGTACGCCTACTGCACCACGGTTGGCCGGAGCGACGACCCACCGGCGGCGTGCTTCGACTGCCTGTCTGGCGCGGGCGACGCACTGATCGGCGGCTGCAGGTACCGCACGGGGTCGGCCGGCGAGGTGTGGGGTTCGTTATCTTTGTGTTATATCATGATCGCAACCTTTGCCAATTGTCCCTTTTGAAAACAATCAAAATATATTTGGGCAGGCATTTCACGAGGGAAGGAAAAGAAGAAAAATAATCCAAAATCCAACTTTCAATTTTAGACACCATAATCTTGTAAGAAGAAAAATAATCCAAAAATTCTTGATGTGAAAACACAAAGACAAATAAAGGACTAATCCTTGAATAGGAAAATGAGTGCATCTACATAATCCAAATGAATTAATAGACTTATTCAAAAAAAAAAAAAAAAAGTCTTATTGTTTGGAAGATATCCATCTCGTATGTGGTACTGTCTGATTCCACTCAACAAGAACTCCGAATTATTCTCTTGAAGCGCATCCTCTTCATCATAAACGATCCACTTGTCCCGAAATGGTCCTGCCGAATAGAGAAACTATCGGTTATGTTACCATACAAATTATTTATTTGGTGTCCATCGATAGATCTGCAAATTCAAACCACGTTGTCATGAGTTTCCCGAGTATTCATTAAAATAATCTGCGTCTTGAGTCAATAGCACATTTTCCGGTGACAAAAACACCTTTTTTTTTTGTTACCGACTATAAATCTTGATGTAGTGTTACTGATAATACTTACATTATTAGTCACTATAATTCAAAATAGGCGGCCCGCGGCCGTGACCATGGTTACAAAAGATAAAATTTCTGGTGACAAATATATATTTGGTTACCAAAGACAATTCTCGCGGGTCGTCCTCTGTGCGCTTCTTGTCTTCTCCGACTCCGTAATTGATTAGCCAGCAGCCTGCAGGCATCTCTATAGCCTCCGCTACTCGAACGAATCACGTAGCTACCACATCAAATGCTATGGCGGGAGTCGCGGTGGCGGCGACGTGGGATTTACGGCGGCGCAGCTGATCAAGCAGTCTCTGATCAGAGATTTGATGGGCAAAGTGCCACGACGTAACAACAAGGAAGGTCGGCACAAATACTGCAGTATGCGTGGATGGCGGGAACGACGCCGCGTCAGCATGCCACGGATGCTTGTCGATCGCCGGCAATATATTGATGTGTGGTTGCCAGGGAACCGGGTCGGGTCAAGTGATCGGCGAGCATGATCTTTGCTATGTCAGGGTCGGGTTCGGCGGGTGTCCGGCCCGCTCGTTAAGCTAGATTATCTTAGCTTTTTTTTTGGTGAAAACGAGTGCACCCGCTACCTCTTATTCTTTTTTTTTTTGAACCAAAGATAATCATATATATTGATAAAAATGATAGTTACATCCTGGCATGAAGCCAGCCAGTGAAATCAAAACAACGACTTCCAGCCGGGTACAAAGAAAGGACTTTCCTGGCCACCAAATGAGCCACCCGATTGTTCCTACGACCTACAAATCGCACACTTAAACCACGATGAACGGCAAAGTACTTATTCAATAATCGAGCGGACAGTAAAATCGCCAACTAAGTCAAAAAGGGCCAATCGACAAGAATTAAGTTATAAGATCTATAATTTGACCTTTTTAAATAATTCGAGTTACTGAAATAATATAAAAATGAATAATCACAGTGAATTAGTTAATTCTACTTTTAGGGTTTTGTTTGCAATGATTATTTTCATTAGTGGATTGTTTAGTATGACATCATGTCAAAGGACGAATTTATAGGTTATTAGCGTCAAATATTTTAATCGCAAAAAGTATAATTTTTTATAGTGAGTAGTATATATGGCTGGGAATCCAGTCGCGGTTTTTCAGTTGAATCGAAAATCGGGCAGTTTAAATCGTTCCTATTGCAACAGGAAATCGTATTCCCAAGCACTCAATCTAATTGCTTCCAAATGTGAATGCGAAGAAAACATCCCCTGAGAAACCATCCGAGTAAGTGTCCAAACACGGAAGCAAGGGAACGAAACCCTACAAAACTAAACAAAGAAAAGTCTCCCAGGTTGATGTCATCATCTTCACATTCTCACTTGGTTAACATTTTAAATTCAAGAGTTCTCCTCACGTTGACATGTGTAAGAGTGTGGTATAAGATCCAGCATAACTTTCTCCTAATAACTCGAGTTATTGGGATCAACTGGTTCTTGACGTGGTATCAGAGCTGGTTTGACCAAGTGGTCGTGTGTTCGAATCTCCACGACCCCCAATATTAACAGTTGATTAAAGCACAAGGTATGTTGGGCCTGTGCAAACTTCAAGCCCATTGTGCAAACTTCAAGCCCATGAGTTGACTTTCGTTTGAGGGGGCGTGTAAGAGTGTGGTATAAGATCCAGCATAACCTTCTCCCAACCACTCGAGTTATTGGGATCAACTGGTTCTTGACAGCATGACTATTAGAAATCGAGACAATATATTCTCATTTCTATAACGACTCGCCATACACTTTGTACGTTGTTTTGCAAATATCCCCATCTCGTGGTTAAACAAGCCTTAGAGACCCCGCGGGCTAGCTGCGTTGAACTCTTTCTTTCTCAATCACCAATAAAATAACCCCAAGCTTTATGAAAACAGAAAAGAAGATGTATTAATTAAGGTTTAACATTACATATAAGAAATCAAACAATAGTGGAAACCATAATTGGAATTTAATTAAACACAAATTCTATTGAATTTTAAGAATACGTTCTATATATATATTTGTAATACTTTTCAGGCCGGCATCCTAGATTCCCCCACGACGGATAGAGTACTACACGGAACCTGTCGAGCTCCACCAGTTTTTTAGAGGCGTACACAAGTGATGAGTTCTAAGAGAAATAAATTCCGTTTATTAATTGATTTTTATTCCCAATATGATAATTAATCGAATATATAGCAAAAAAAATTATGACTTTATATATATATATAGTCCCCACAACGCTAAAAAGAGAAAGCAAATACACAAGTTACGATCCTAATATAATTTCACGTAGATCATATCCATGGCGGTTTTTGTGTTGTTAGTAGTAGTGTCGTCGTCGCTGTCCATCTTTCTTCCTCTCGTCACCGACGCCGTCGCCGACTACGCCGCGTACTGCGACTCCTCCGGCAGCGGCCGCAGCCATGCTGCCACGGCGAGGGCTCTCGTCGGAGATTTGAAAGACAAGGTGCCGGATAAGCCGGGCATGCAGTACTGCAACGTGCTGACGTGGCCGCCGTCGAGTGGACGGCAGGTGTTCGGGTACGGTTCCTGCGACACGGTCGGCAGGACGGCGGATGCCACGTACGCATGCCGCAACTGCTTGGCTACCGCCGGCGATGCCCTGTTCCGTCGGTGCAGAAAGAGGACCGGAGGAGCCGGCGAAGTGAAGGGTCCAATGTCCTTGTGCTATCTCAAGATTGGAACCTCCAGCTGTGCCTCCATGATACATTAGTTGTTATAATTATAATAATAATAAACTCTGTTATAAACGCGCGGCTACGGATCGGGAAATCGCTGAAATCGATAAACAAGAATACGAAAGCGAGAATCAAAAACACGACACACGATTTACGTGGTTCACTAACACGATGTGTGTTAGCTACGTCCACGGGCGAGAGAGAGCCAGTTTCACTATATTGAGGAGATTACAGATTACAAAAGAGTATGAAAAATATTTATAGTACTTCTCCATGTGGGTCTAAACCTAATCCAATCGTAGCGGCTGATAGTCCGATTCAAGTCACATCAACAAGCTCTATCATTATTGCACCGATGTGACGATGTTTGTGATCTCGTATCGTACTATATCATACAAGTCTCCATCATGTAACGCACTATTCGATCGAACGACGAGTCTTCGAATAACAAATTCATTTATACGAATCATCCACTCTCTTAAATTTACGTAGTATTCATGAAATTCGAGATAACCTCAGCATTATCCCAATTTGTAACAAACCAAATAAAGGGAAAAACTCGAATGATATTCAACAAACCCGACAAATGCTCAGATAACTTCCGGCAAATGTGCTTACAGCAACATTTCTGAAACATTATTGGTGACCGAAACAATAATGGGTGTTGATAGCCCAAAAAAATGAAGGGAAAAATATTGACGAGTTTGAGAACTTTTTGCCACAACTAGATGGTTAGCTATTATTAGCCACCATCTTTCTAGCGACCACGGCGGGGGAGGTGGTACTACCATGCCAACACCCCCCACGAATAGGGGTGGGCATAAGTGGATTAAGTTCACAATAGGATTGAATTGAGATAAAATTGGATTGTCGTAAATCAATTGATTTCCATAACTTAAGTTATTAGGAGAGGTCGATGTATGGATTTTAATAATTTCTTTATACGTCTCTTCAAAACGAAAGTCAACTCATGAGCTTGAAGTTTGCGCAGATCCGTCATATCATGTGCTTTAAGACAACATTACTATTGGGGATGGTGAAAACTTGAACAAGTGACCTCAAGAACAAATAAACTCTAATACCATGTCATAAACAAACTGGTCTCAATAACTTGAGTTGTTGTGTAAGGTCCATGTATGAATTTTAACCACTTCCTTAGATAAAAATAAAAGAAAAATGAGTACGAGAACCGGACCAAAACCATGGTTGGTTCAATTGGATAGATATGGTCCGATCCAAATTCAATTTTAGTTCATTTTGTCATCCTAATTAAAATAATTCTTAGGACCTAAACCAAATCAAAACATATCCATTCAATTCTATCCAAATATCGATCCGGTCCGATGTGAACCGGACCGTTGTCCACCTCCACCGACGCGAGTGGTACGGCTACGGTGATCCGGTAACGGCGGCGGGGCTGAAGAAAAGCTCTCGTCCTCGTCTGGGATCTGAAAGATAGTAAAAACGCCAGACAGCGTGTCCACCGAAATTCTCCTTTCGGCTATGTAAGAAGCATCTTCCTTATTCCCGCCGGCGAGAGAAAACCGAAGCAAATACGACTATATTCCTTGATAATATTGTACCGTCGTCCGTTTAAAAGGAACCACAATTGCATCAGTAATTCCTCTGTGATTGGCGGATGTAACGAGGGAGAGAAGCCGGTACAACAATATACCACCTCATGAACATAACGATACTAATTAACCATTGCTTAATTAATTATGTCAAAAGAAAACATGTCGCCAACTCCAAGGAGAGTTTGGTCTTGCTATATTACTTTCGGTCAATTTGAATATGAAAACCTTAGGTTCGAACCATAGCTAACTCCTCGATCTTACAGAGACACCTTCAGCGGATTGTAAAATAATCCATTGATTTCACGTCTGAGCACTACGCACACGGTGGCTATACGGTGCGGTCCGATTAAATTAACCCGAATTGATCCGGTTCCAGTATATATGATCTTTTCGAGAATATAAGGATAAATTTTTTGATTTGATACAGTCCAATCTTGATCCGGTCCGCTCTTGAATTGATCCGGTCCCAATTCGCGGTCTTGATTTTAGAGTGAACTTGTGGAGATTTGAGTGATCTGAGGGGGGATTTGAGTGGCCTAAGGCCCGAAAGGGTGAGGAGGTTAAATTTTGAATGTTGGGCTCTCTTATCCGGTCTTTATCCGGTTTTCGGTCCGGTCCCTAATGATTTTTACCTCAAATCTAGGTCCGAAAATTGAATTGCATTGTTTACTATCCGGTTCCGATCTGGGTTATACAGTCCGATTTCGGGTAAAACCAAAAAGTCCGAACCAAATATCCACCCCCTACGCACGGCATATAACTATTTGCATTCGATCCTAGCTACTTGTCATATGTTTTGTATCTAGGTGTTTGACCGCGCGCAACAATGACCCGATTATTTTTATGTAGGCGTTCCTCTCGAGAGATCCACAAAAAGAAAAGCCGAATGAGCTCCATCAATACAACAACCGAGAATCAATTCCCTAGCTATATAAAGGAGGGAGGGAAGACAAATCTGTAATTAATAATAATAAATAAATAAATAACAGAACCATTACATATAGCTAGAGTCATGGCTGCTGCGACTAGGTTTTTGGAGCTGTCCATCCTCCTACTGATCACCGCCGCCGCGACGACCACCGGCGACGTGCCACACGTGCAGTGCTACACCGGAAACGGTGGCGTACTGGCAGGGGAGATGAAGCAGTCCCTCATCCTAAATTTGGTCGTCAACTTGCCGTATTTACCAAAGACGTACTACTGCAACTACCTGACGTTTGCCGGGCTGACGATGTACTCGTTCGCCGAGTGCCCGCGTCGGGACAGCGACGGGGACGAGAGCGTGAGAGCGTGCACCGACTGCTTGCATCTGGTGGGTTACGACCTGATCGGAAGTTGCGGAGACACGAGCACCGGCTACGCATGGGATGATGACTCGGTTTGTTATTTCAAGGTTGGCTACTCCTTGGATGTTGTTTGTCCCAAGGGGACTTACTAAAAAGTTGATTCAATTCCATCAGTGGTGGAGTTACGTGTAGACTGACCGCGACTTTTTGTCGCGGTCCGCGTTTCGATATGTGGTTTTGTGGTGATGGTTAGTATATATGCGAACGTTCCAAAAAAATATGCGAAAAATAACGATATGGTATATATGACCAATATGTCAGCTCTCGTCCTCGTTTTGATTTTGAGAATTTTTTTTTAAAATGTTTGTGGTCCTCCTTTGATATTGTATGATCACGAGGACGATATTCAAGTGATAATAATTCACTTTCTTGAGAGACGTGATGGCTACTGGTGGTGGGTTAATGTCCTAATTTCGAACTTTGAATAAAATGTTACGTTGTGGTATCATCAGAAATTTAGTTGAAAATTTTGAGTTTTATGATTTTTTTGGAGAAGCACTATATTTTTTAATTTGAAGGAAGAATTATTGTTTAGATTGAATTCACATCTCCTTCACTAAGAAAAGCTGCTTTTTTCGCAACCAAAAACAGTAGCAGAAAGCCAGAAAAAACTCTGGTCACGAATACCATTTAACAGCGTTGGTGACCAAACAAACAGCGGTGGCAAACTGGCAATTTACCAATTCTTATGGGGAGCCAAAATTGATGACATAATATGTATGAGTACTCAATTGAATTTCTTGCAACAGATTGGTTTATAGATAATACACTGATAAGGGTGATATCATTTCTTGAAGTTAGAATTGTGGTTGATGTTATCATCCTCATACTCTCACTGGGACAAGACAACCTCTTAAAATCACGAGCTATATATCGTTAGGTTGACAAAACTATTAGATATCGAGCCTTTTGAGTTGCGTTGAATTCGTTCTTTCTCTTCATAAAGAAAATAACCCGAACTTTGGAGACATAAAAGAAGAGAGTATTAATTAAGGTTTAACATTACATACGATTAAGAAACCAATATTGTAATGTGTAAACCATAATTAGAATCAATTACTGTTCTAATGTGATACTTTTCAGGACGGCCGCTAAGATTCCCCGACGACGGAAAAACCCGTCAAGCTCCACCAGTTCTAGAGGCGAAGACAAGTGATGAGTTCTAAGAGAAATAAATTCTGTTCATTATTAATTGATTTATTTGCAAATGGGAAATCAAATTAATAACAGCAAAAAAAAATTACGACTCTGCATATATAGTGACGGCCCCACAACGCTAAAAAAAAAAAAAGAGAGAAGCAAACGCAGTTCACGGTCTAAATTATATTTCAGGAGAGTAATGGCTATGGCGGTCTTTGGCTTGCTAGCAGTCGTGTCGTTGTCGTTGTCGTTGTCCATCTTTCTTCCGCTGGTCGCCGTCGCCAATTTCGCCGTGAATTGCGACGCCGGGAGCGACCTCCGCTTGGTTGCTGCGACGGTGAGCGCCCTCGTCGAAGATTTGAAAGTCAAGGTGCCGGATCAGCCTGGCTGGCGGTACTGCAACGTGCTAACCTCGTCGAGCGGACGGCAGGTAGTGGTGGCAAATTACGATCCAAAGTTCAATTGTATTGGTGGATTCATGGATTGTCGGCAGACCGCAGTTTCACTAAAAAAATTGAGTCTGTCATTTTAGTACCTAAATTTTTCAAAATTTACTTAACGGTCCAAGATTTAGATGTCACTTGGATTTTTATCAAATCCATTTAACCGATAAATCTATTCAATTCGTCGCCTCTGTTTGCAGGTGTTCGGTTACGGTTCCTGCAACACAGGCATGATTACAGATCCCGCAAACGCGTGCCGCAACTGCTTGTCTACTGCCGGCGACGCCCTGATGCGTCGTTGTAATAAGGGTACGGGAGGAGCTGGTGAAGTGCAGGGTCCAACGTATTACTGTTATCTCAAGATCGGAACATCGAGTTGTGCATCCATGATACATTAGATGAGCTACAATCAATTGTAACCTTTAATTTGCACCGATCTGACGATGTTGGTGATATCGTATCGTATTGTCGTACAGTGACTCCGTCGTCGTACGTGTATGAGTCGAACTACAATTTTTCGTCACTCGTTGTATTTCGATTTATGAATATTGTTGTGTTTTTTTTTCCGATCATCGGTTTCGTTGGTTTGATGATGATCGATGCGATTTCACAAGCATTGGGTTGCACATGCATGCACTGAACTCACTACATTCTATATCATTCTTTGATACATAGGGGTGGTTTGTAAGTTGCGATTGTTTTTGTTGAGATTGTTGCTATACATGTATTGTTTAGAAGGCATCGGGTATTTTTTATATTGTTTAGGAGAAACAATACATGGATTGTTTCTGTGATTTGACAGAAATTATCACTCAAAATGAGTGATTGTTATATATATCAACTTTTAGCTGATGTGACATACACAGTCGCACATACTAAACGCCGTATTTTACAATACATCAAATTCGACAATACATGTATAATATTATGAGTTACATAGGGACGACTATTCTTTATTATTGTCTGTATTATAGCTTTGTTGTCCAGCCATTGGCTTGAGGGGCTTATCACTACAAGAAAAATGAGTTTTGGGGGAAATGGATATATGCCACTATAGGGTGTTTAATTGCCTCTAAACCTTTTTAGAAGCACATATTTATGTGCTGTCAATACTGCTGCCGCTAATTCCATTTAGCGACAATCGATAGCGGCACATATTATTAGTCGGTGATTATACATCTGAAGGCTCTTTAATCTGCCCCTAATAGTTGAATTATGTAAACATGAAAGTGTTCTTATTCGTTCCTTTCACAACAAATATTTTAGTCGCCAATTATGGTCATTAAAGATGGATCATTAGCCGCTAATTGTTCATGTATCTGCTTCCATATGTTATTTAGAGGCAGTTATAGTTGCCTCTATTTCTTTGACCGTCAACAGGATTCATTTCTTAGACGGATGAGATTGTTTTAATTTAGTAATCAAATATTAAAAAGCTAATAATTATGGCATACTTCCCTGTCATTCTCTTGCTTGCGTCGAATTGCCATTATGTACAATTAACATAGTCCCTCTAACGGTCCTGTAAGCAAGCACTTAGCTTGTTAGATCCTTAAAAGATAATCAACTAGAACAATGACCATTATTAGATCCTTAAAAGATAATCAACTAGAACAATGACCATTAGTTAGAAGGCAAGACAAATTCGTACAACGACATAAGGGAATAGATCATACTAATTGGTCGTCAAAACTAGATAACTTTGAGACTTGAGAGATCTCTTGATGAAATTATGCTCGTCAAGATAAGAATGCTTTTACTCTAACAACATTTACTCACTCAATTTCAATATCTATTTAGCCATCTACAGACTAGTAACAACAAACACAAAACTGTTCATAATATTTCTCAATATGAAAAAGAGTATCATTACATCTCCATTTCATTAAATTTAATCAAATATAAAGCTACGATAGATTAGTTCATAGACTTACCATCAATTGCAACATAACATGCTCCTTCATACTTGTCGTTCTCTGAAATCCTTCCCATTTCTGAGATAGAGTAAAAAAAGAGTTCAATAGATTTCCTAAAAGAAGTCAAACAATAGATCATCTCCACAGACAACCCAAAGATAAAGATCACAATCTTATGTGTCATCAAACACGATATAGGTCCACATTGTTGCTCAAATGAAAACGCAACACTACAAATGAAAATCCAATTATGACCCAAACGCAAACAACAATGTCAAAATACCAATGGTTTAAACTTTAAAGTGACAAGATTCTTGATATTGAACCGAGGAAGATCAAATATAAATGCTGAATAGAATTGGAATTAATGGGGCGACAACCTACTGATTTTGATCCATCCTCCTTAATTTGGTTGGGTGTAGATCCCGTTCTTGCCTTCGCAATCCCCATCTCACTGCGACTACTCGTGCTCGCCTGCCCTTGGATCTGCTGCGATTGGTATAGAATAGTAGAATACCCTAGTTTCTTGAAGACTGCCGAGATAACAACAGTAGCGGATCCGATGGTGGGGGAAAACGTTGAGCAAGATTCAGCAGACGACTCCATGGCAATGGAGATTCTAGATTGAAGAAGGATGGAAACCCTAGATGCGTGCTACCTCTCGATCCTTCAAAGGAGTTGTGTAAAAAGCGTTAGCGGTGCCAATTATAGGATTTGTGGAAAATGATAAATTTATTTTCATCAAATATTAATAAAATATTGCATAAATCTAATTCTATTAGTCTAGAATTAATTAATTAAGATAATAGAGGCTTTTAATTTTGCCTCCAAAACTTTGGATTTTCCAAATAATTATTTGGGTCTGCGTGATGATAAGGAAGAAGAATAAATATGATTTTCCTCTAGAAGTCCCACAAAAACTTTACAAGGCAATCGGTATAAATCTGCCTCTAGAACCTAAATTTCTTTAAACTAAATGTAAATATATAAAATAATTATCTTATTGGAGGCATATGGTGATACTTGTAGAGGCAAATTTATATTTGTTGGGAATGAAATATTTTTAGAGACAAATAATAATATTTATAGAGGCAAATTTATATTTGTTGCGGATGAAATAATTTTAGTGACAGATAACAATGTCTATAAAGGCAGATTTTACATTTGTCGGGAAAATATACATTTAGGGGCTAATATTACATTTGCCTTTAAAATTTTGTCGCTATAAACCAATTTTCTTGTAGTGTATCTTGAATAAAAAAAATTCCATGTGTATCTCTTCTATGCCCCCAACACTGTGCTTAGTGCGGATTATTGTTTGACGTATACTACATGTACAATAGGAAAATCGTACAAAAAACACTATACATAACCATACCAATATATACATTCATCGACCGAGATATGGTAAAACGCTAGTGCTTGTATGATAAATTACCAACTTTTGGCATCCGAGATCAGTCGAAACGGAATAGGATTAGAAGACAATTGTGAGAGATTTAGGCGAGAATCGAGCTGAAATAAAAGATCAGAACAGGAAGTACAAAATCAGGGATCTACAGTTTAGAGAAATTCGATAGAGGAAGAGGAGAGATACATTGAATTATACCTTGACGACTTATTAATTGATTGATCATCCTGACGATAGAACTAAACTACATTATACATATATCGACTCCATATTCCAAATAGTAACCGAACTAATATAATAAAAATATCAAATAAGTAAAATTTTATATGCTCCCATTGGTCTGATTCTAAACGGTTACCATCTAAACTAGGGATGGGAATTCGGTCAGGATTTTTCGGTCAAACTGGAAACCGTGCAGTTTAAATCGTCCCGATTGTAACCGGAAATCGGATTCTTATTAATCAAATCCAGTTTGAGGTCTGAGGTTGAGGGTAAATAACCGCCCCGGTCCCGGTCCAGTTTTACTCGGTTTTAACCGAAAACCGGATAACAGACCCAAGACTAAGCTCGACTCTGTGAAGCCCAGCCCAAGCCACACCTCCTCACTGTGAAGCCCGAGACCCAAACCCAAACACAAAAGGCCAAAACCCCAGTCCCAAACCCAAGCCCGACCCCTGTAAAGCCCAGCTCAAGCCACACCTCTTTAGTTTTGAAGCCCGAAGCCCGTAACCCCACCCACAACCCTAAGTCCTACAGCCGCCGCTCTCCTCGATCTCCCTCTTCCTCTCTCGATCTTAATCTCAATCTCTCACCCCTCTCATCCACGGCGACGACGACCTCTGCTGTCTAATCGTCGACTCTCACTCCAAAAGAAGAAGAAGAAGAAGAAGAAGAAGAGGAAGACGAGAGGAAAAGGACTCCGAAGATACAACCGTCGACGATTATTGATTCCCATCTCGAGCTTTTCTCCGTCGGGTTCTGCATGCGCCAAACTACACCGCCGATATATCTCCTCCAATCTCCCTCACACTCCGCCGCTTTCTTTTCTTGTTTCACCGCTTCCTCTTCTTCGTTCTCTCTCGAGACTGTGTTGGCGGAGGCGGCAATTCCTGAGTAGCTCTATTGGCGGAGGTGAGGTCGATGATGAAGGGGCAGGGGCAGCTCTGTTCGGCAAAAGTCAGGGACGGGAAGGGACAGCTCTGTTGGCGGAGGCGAGATCGACGAGATGACGACGAAGACATGAAAAGAAGGGTTGAGATTTTGGGAGGAAGAAAGAGAAGGAAAGTAAATGAGGGTTGAGAGCGATCTGGTGGGTTTCTCTGTGGGATTGGAAACGAAAGTGAGAATTTGGAGATGGTGGTTTTTCGGGAGAGAAGGAGGTGAAGAGCCGCTGTCGTTCCGATTTTTCGGGAGAGAAGGAGGTGAAGAGCCGCTGTCGTTCTCTCTCGAGAAAGGAGAAGTTCCGGTTTTTTGGTTGAAATCGGATCGGACCGGATTCAATCCAGTCCGGTCACGATTGAAACCGACTCCCTATCCAATCCAATTTTCGGTTGCTGTCTTGGTCGAAACGATTTTAAAAGACCGGGTTAATTCGGTCCAGTTTTAACCGGACCAAACCGTTTCCCACCCCTAATCTAAAGGGGGAAATTTCCCATTCGGCTCATCATTAGGAAGCATCTTCCTTGGAGAAAGAAAACCTAAGCCAACTTGAGTACTTGACCAGACGTGAAAACCTAAGCCGACTTGACCAGACGTGTTGGTGTCTTACTCTGTGAAGAATACAATTTTAGCTTTTTCTATTCTGTTTCTGGCTTGTTTTTACTGAAAATCTTTGCCTTGTGGGTTTCCTTTTCCTCCCTTTGTACATTTCGATAAGTACACTCGTTTAACTTTTGTTTTTTTCCCCCCCAAAAGGAATCTCCGGCAGCTATATATTTCTGTTCGTGCCGGTTGATGCTAATATACAATCGTCGGACTCCTTGTAATCATGGCGATCGAGCTATATAAATATAGTACATATACCATACGCCCCTTCAAACATCTCATAAGCAAAATAACAAAGATAGAGAGAGCCATGGCATCAGCGACTAGATTATTATTGGAGCTGTCCATCCTCGCGCTGATCACCGCCGCGGCGACGACGACGACCACCGCCGACGAGGCCTACAAGCAATGCTACACCGGGAACGGCGGTGACCTGGCAGTGCGGATAATGAAATCCCTCGTTCAAGATTTGACCGCGAAACTGCCGGATCGACGAGAGACGTACTACTGCAACGAGCTGACGCTGGAGGGGATGAAGATGTACGGGTTCGCGGAGTGCAGAGGCCGGGACAGCGACGGAGCCGCCAGCATGAAGGCATGCACCGACTGCTTGGATCTGGCCGGGAAATTGCTGATCGACGATTGTAAAGACACCGCCACCGGCTATGCTTGGGATCTCGACTCGGCGTGTTATTTCAAGGTTGGATACTCCATTGATGTTTGTCCCAAGGGGACTTACTAGTTGTCCGTTTGATCAGTGGTGGAGCTACGTGTAGACTAATAATGATCGCGACTTTTGTCGCGCGGTCCATTTCGATATGTCGTTTTTGGTCATGTTTTTGTAGTCCTCGTTTCTTGGTATTGTAATATTGGCTACTAGCTAGCTAGCTAGTTAGTGGGGATGACTGACTAGAGTCTAGAAAGACGGTCGATATGAGGAAAGAATGTCTTGTACGTACTGAAAGCTGAATAAAATATTATGTGATATCATTAGACATCTAGTTGCAGATCTTGATGAGTTTTATTGTTTTTTAGACGAAATTATGTTTCGATGGGAAGAATTTTATTGTTTAGAGGAAATTGAAGATGAAATCTATGGGACTTTTTAATAAATGATATGACATGGCATCTATATGTCGCATCTAGTTGGAAATGACTTGTGAGTTGAGTGGCATACCACATCAGTATAATGTTTATGTTACTGATAGGGTCGCCAATGTTAATCGAAACAGAAATATTGAAACGGAAACGTAAAGAATACACAGGTTTACGTGGTTTCCCCGTTCAAGATGAACGAGACTAGTCCACGGCCGAAGCTATTGTATCTCTTATTCAGCTTAACTTCGATAGGTTCCATTACATAGATATATATATACAATTCTAGGGTGAAACCCTAGACCAAACTCGGCTGCCCTAAGAAACCCATTCTGCCGAGAGATATGGGTGGGCCAAAGCCCATAACACTCAACAGCCAAACGGTGTTAAAGTTTAACGAAAAATGGTTAGATTTGTCATACAACGGTCCAAGATTCTGAAATTTTGCATATTTTATTAAAAAAGTGGCTATTACTGTCACAAACTCAAAAGTCATGACTATGCAGGTGAATTTTGCCTAATTTTTCTACTTGATATTCCGAAAATGAGTCAATTTTCAAGTTAAATGGACTCATTTGAAATTGAAAACAAAAATAAACAATCGAATTGGATTCTCGTGAATGATCTCAAGGAAATCAAAAATAGCTCGCATTTATTTTTGATTTAATCCATCCATTTGTGATAAAATCAGTTTAGGCATAAAAAGCCCATTTTGTCATTGTTGACAAGTAGGCCTATGAACCCATACAAACGTGCTATACTAGAACGCAGGCTGATGGGCCGAAAGAAAGGAAAAAGGAATTGATTACCTTGAAACTTGTCCTACATTGTATTGGGTGGCAGTGTGGCACACCCGGTGGTCCAACATGCGCTGCAATTATCGCATCGTAAAAAAACAACAACAATAAAGACACTGAAACTTGTCACAATAAGACGGTTAGCTATTGTTAGTCACCTATTCGAGTGACCGCGGCGAGCTATTACGTACGTACAAAGGGATTAGGGTGTATGTACGATAGTCCGAGATCCAATGACTAGGATTATACAAATCAAACTCATGAGAAACACGGTTCATTAGTGAAAGATATCTTAGTAGTAAGAACCGTATCATCATTGAATTCAATCCTTTTATCCGGTTTGGTCCGGTCCAAATATCATTTCAATCAATTTTGTCGTTAATAATTAAAAAAAAATTATAAAACCAAGTACCGAACCGCATTATACTCGGTACAGTCCGATCCAAACACTGATTTGTTCGGTTGCGGTCCGATACGGACCCGACCGTTCCACAGCCCTCGTCCCAGCTACTGCACATATTGCTATCACAACTGTTTTCGACACTAATGACAACTAGGGCTGGGCATGCGGGCGGATCATCCGCGGGTTTGGGCCGACCCACCCGCATTTGACCCGAATTTCGTTAAGTGGGTGGGTCTGTGGGTGGGTGACGGGTTGCGCTGGGAGCCATCCGCCGGGTGGTGGGTGGGTTGTGGGTGAGTGTGTGGGTGACCCGCTCAACCCAACAACAAAAAAATCAAAGTCGTTGGCGCTAGAGAGAGGAGAGTGGAGACGTTAGATATAAACTCGGACTGGTCCTGGAGTTTGAACCTCAAAGCCAACCTTCCAAATAGAGATCCCCTCTTCTTCCCTTTACTTTTTCCTCTAATTCTTGTGCCTAGATCAACGCTCTTTCCTTTGTGGAATTATTTTCCTTAGTTCCTTGCACCTAATAATCGTCTCAATCTGTAGAAAACTCTTTCATAATAGAATTTCTATCCAATTTAAGAACTAATTCGACATTTTTCGCCCTATTTCAACTTCTGGTTTCCCTCGATGATTCTCTTCACCTATTATCATGTCAAGTTGACTCCTTTATATTATATAAATTGTGATGTGGGTGAACCCACAAACCCACCCGCATCATCCACCATCCGCCCGACTCAACCCGAGACTAAATGTGGGTGGGTGGTGGGTTAAAAATTATCAATCCGTTTAAGCGCGGGTGAGTGCATTTTATGGTCAAAATCCACCCGACCCACCCAATGCCCACCCCTTATTGACAACTGCAGTACCGAGTAACTAACGTATTTGAAAGCCAAGTGCCCTGTTCAGGTACCGATCGACCATAACTTTTGGCTCACCCTATCAATTCGGAATTTGCCACAAAGACCTGTTTGGTCACCAATGGTATTCTCGCGTCGTGTTCGTGACCAAATGTACTGGTTGCCAAAGGACAGTTTCTCTTATTACGACGGAGAGGTGACTTCAATCTAAATAAAAATTTGATAATGGTGAAAGAATATATTAAGAAGACGAAAAAGAGTTACACTCGAGAAAAGCAGCTAAAGCTCAAGAGAATTGAACCAAGCTGCGAACAAGAACAAAACCGAAAAATAGCAGCGAACAGCCACAAAGACAAAAAACTGGCTAGATGGGCCAAACCATCCCTGCCAGACAAAACAAAGGAAGGGAAGCAGCACAGCAGAACATCAGCAACAAAACGTCAAAAGACTCTGCCTCCAGCCTCTGAGACAAACATGCCAAACGCCGTTGCCCAAACCAGCAAGATCGAAAGAGCATAGCGGCAGCAATCTGAACAAAACGACCAGCAACAACTCCAAGTCCGGCCTCGCCGCCACAGATCAACCAGTCTAACTCTCCTGCAGCCAATTCAGTCCCTGAGTTTTAATAATGTGACCAAGGGACAGCAGCACAGCAGAACAGCAGCAACGCCTGGCTCCAGCCTCTGAATCTATCCTGCCATACGCCGTTGACCATTCCAGCAAGTTCGAAGGAGTAAAGCGGCAAAAACCAGAACCAACCGACCTGCAACAACTCAAAGTCCGGCCTCGTCGCCATAGATCAGCCGATCAATAAACTCTCCTGTAACCAAGTCAACCCCTGAGTTTTATCAATGTGACCATGGGACACCAGCCATTCCATCGCGTTCCTCGCTGCTCTTCTAGCCACCCCGATAGCAGTCGACTTCTTCTCTTCGAACACACGTTGATTCCTTTCCAACCACACAAACCACCAAACTGCATGTAGGATACAGTATGTAAACCAATCCCCTACGTTTCCCGGCTTGGAATGAGGGCTGTGCTTGATTATGAGTTTCACCTCCCTGTCTTGGTAGGACAACACCAATCTACCCCTGTTGATAATTCTCCATACTTCCTTCACGAACTCACACTCCACCAATAAGTGATTAATGGTCTCTTCATTTTTACAACAGAGACAACATCTATTTGCCATCGACCACCCTCTCTTCTTCAAGCTGTCAACAGTGATTAATTTGTTATGATAAACCAACCACATAAAAAAGCACACTTTACTAGGAATCAGTTTCTTCCAGATTTGTTTCGATGGAAAATCAATCACTCCTGGCAACGTTTCCTGCACAAGCATCCTGTACAACGAGCTCACCGAGAACTTGCTGTTGGGATCAGGATTCCAAACTATTCTGCAAGGACTAAGAGCATTATTGTTCATGGGGATATTATTAAGAAAATTCAACAATTCTACCCTTTCCCTTTCAGCACCCCCCCTCAGATTATATTTAAGATTGAAAGACCAACTCACCAACTCACCATTGAGGGATGCTACATCGGAGAGTCTTGCTTCGGAGTCGACAACGGCAGCAGCAACGCGGGGGAATGCAGAAGACAGCACCATCCCCTGATTCCAAACGTCGTGCCAAAAGGAGATCATAGTTCCATTTCCCGGGTCTATACTTGCGAACTTCCAAAATAGTTCATGTTCTTTAGTTATGTTTGCCCACACCGATTGTGAAAAACCCCTTCTAACCTTTTCCGTTTGCCAAACCGATGAGGGATTGTGATACTTGATATCTATAAGCTTACGCCACCAACTATCTCTCTCCGTGGCAAACCGCCACAGCCACTTGGACAACATTGCATCATTGAAAGCTTTCAAGTCATGGATCCCCAGCCCACCCTTGCTTTTCTCGGTTTTGCAGAGTTTCCATTCCACGAGGGCCTTCTTATTGATGTCGCGCCCACCATTCCATAAGAACCTCCTTAGGGTTCTTTCCAAATCCTGAATAACCGAAACAGGAGCCTTGAATAGGGAAAACATGTACGTCGGCATGCTCCCCAGAACCGCAGTGCACAAGACGAGCCTAGCTCCGTAAGATAAATGTCTGCTCCCCCAGCCGTTAAGTTTATTCTTCATTTTGTCAATCATGGGGTCCCAAATTACCGGATCGTTCGGTTTGGCTCCAAGGGGGAAGCCGAGGTACTTCGCCGGATCACGGCTCCATTTGCACCCAAAAATGGCAGCGTAGAAACTAGGATCAGCCACGTCGCCGACAGTATACATCACCGACTTGTCAAGATTAACCCTTAAACCGGTCACGGACTGAAAACACACTATAGTAGCCAGAATATTCAGAACCTGATCGTGATTGGCGTCGCAAAATATCACAGTGTCGTCAGCGAACAGGAGGTGGGTAACTTCGCCGTTTTTTGAGTCTTCGTTCATATAAAATCCTTCAAATTTACCAGCCTCTCTTACTGCTTTCAGCATCATTGACAAGACATCCATAACTAGAACGAACAAGCCCGGTGAGAGGGGATCGCCCTGACGAAGACCTTTAGAAGCTCTGAAATACCCTTTCGCCTCGCC